ATGTTCGTATTTTGACTCTATATATATATATTATATATATATAATATATATATATGCAGTGGCGTAGCGAGGTCGGGTGTCACCCGGTGCGGCACTTAATGGTGTCACCCCCCCAGAGGCATAGAGACCCTTCCCAGGGACAAAGTTTCAAGTTTTCGATTTGCACCCCCCCCCCCCCCTCAAACTTTCGATTTGCACCCCCCCTCGAGTTTTCGATTTGCACCCCCCCCCCCCTCAAACTTTCGATTTGCACCCCCCCCCCTCGAGTTTTTCTCTATATATTTTGCTATTTTTTGCCTTGGTGTCACCCCCCTAAATGGTGTCACCCGGTGCGGTCCGCACCCCCCGCCCCCCCCTCGCTACGCCCCTGTATATATGGGGCCCAAAAATTTTTTTTGTAGGGTGGCCCTTTTTTTCTAGTTCCGCCACTGGTACCACTTGGTATTGAATTAAGTCTGTCTTTCAACGTCCACAAATAGTCACGCTTGTTTTTACAGACCCCCCCCCCTCCATAGCTTATCCTCGTTGTCAGACGTTTTATCCAAGACCCTAACCCTTTTGTTATCACAACTGGGCGACGTGGTCTAGCAGGTAGTTCGCACGTTAGCTAAACCAATAGTTCGGTACCCATCCCGCTGACCGTAGGTCATCCCACGGCCCAACTGTCCCTGCAAAACTAAATGGCAAGTTCTGGTATTTAAAACTGGAGGCAAAAGTCGAACAGAAACACTGGTCTTTAACGTCTGTCTACATAGCTGTGTGAAATGCTCGATTCTTGATAATATTGCTGTTCGTTTGGCAACAGCTAGATCCAGGGTCCATAGCCAAATCCCAAAAGAAAATTCAAGGCTTTTTCAAGGTTTTCAAGGTGATTTTGGGGGGAATTTCAAGGTATAAACTACCACTAACGGGCATTACAATGAGGGTGATGTATGTTTTTTGCACACACAATTTTTGAAATAATGTTGGTGTTATTACAAAATTATCTAAGTCAGGAGATTGTCTGAGAGTCCAGCATAATCCCTTTTGCAATCAGTATCTTTGGTGTCAAATGACACTCCTCCAACTTCTATTTTCAGAAAAACCTCTTTCAACACTGGCTTGACCATGTGACAGAAGCAATAGATCTCTAACAATTTTCCAAATGTTCACATAAGAAATTTTGCTACCAAGCTGTTCTATGAAAAAAATGTCCAGCCTATCATGTTCTCAATTAGATTTAGATAGACAACCATTTAGAGTACATGTATCTATGAATGTTGAAAATTGAAACAGAACTTGGTCACACTCAGCTGATTTCAGTTTTCATTTGTTGACTAGGATGTGAAGAATTCCCTTCATTTTTCGGTGAACTGGCTCTATTTTTAAACATTTGCATTAGGCTAAGTCTCTCACTAATGACTAAAGTAATGGAGATTTCAACAAAAAATTTGATGAAAATCCTATCAAAGTTGTCTTACAATCAGATTTGAAATTGAGAATTTGAAGCTCACTTGCTTTTTTTTACTTTTTCTAGAGACTTTATTAGAGAGTCAGCAACAAACCCAACTTCAATTGAATGACTTGTCAATGTCAAGTGATAATCAGAATCAGGTCATTATACATAAAAGGAAGCATTGGTTCGTCTGTCTGATAGTCCTTTAAAAAGGACTCTTCACACATATTCCTTTAAAAAGGACTCTGCACACATATAGAAACAAAAAAAAACCTAGCTATGCTTGTAGAAATTATCCTGCTTAATGTCATAAATGACCTCACGCTTTTTAAAAGATTATTACCTCTCTCCCCCCCCCCTCCGTCACACATCACAAAAAGGCAGGCCCCGCCCTCTAAAATGACGTCACACCTCAGCCTATAACCCCTCCTACACCCCACCCCCCCTTGATTGCAGTTCAATTTTTCTTAAAATAGGATTTTTCCCCCAAAATCTTGTCTGAACTCTGTCAAAATAGAGTATTTTAATCAATTCCTTTTACAATTTATTAAAACAGTTTTCTAAAATGCTAAAATTCGTTTTCTAACATTACTTTTTAATAATGCAAAAGTGTGATGTCACACGATCTGACCCCCCCCCCCCCATCCCCTCACCACACACCGTCACACGATTACGGATCCCCCTCCCCCTACGAGTGTGACGTCATTTATGGACGACCCCAATGTCCCCACCTATGATATACATGATGACGTAAAGAAATATCGTGGAAGTTATAAGTTAGTTCAAATTAAGTTGTTTTTTTAAAACAATTTCACAAGTAACTACGCTAGTAATACTCATGTCAGAGATGTAGCCGCCCGACAAAGTGAAAAGCGGATTTTTTTTTTACAAGTGGATGGGAGGGGGCAGTGACAGCGGCAATTTTCTCAAACACGGTAATTCGAGGCTTCTTAAACATTTCAATGACGTTTTACCACAGTAAAAATCAATTAGATCTAGACCCTGCTAGATGGTGTAACTAAATTATAGCAGACCTACATATTTTGTTCAATGACCTAAAACGATGCAGATATAGTTTTTGTTTTCGCTTTAATCTAGCAGTAAGCCCAATATTAAAGATAACCACGTTAAAATTCGATAAACAGCGTTTGTAGAACTGCCTTGACCGTGAGACACTACTGTGCTCGCGCGTGGTCTCGTGTCGTAGGTCATACGGTCAGCGCGACCTTGAAGTGAGAGGCGGTAAAAAGTGTCCGTAAAGTTGAGTGAAAACAGCACAGTCATAGTCCTTCAAATTATTTTACTTTTCTTTTGATAAATACAAATTTTTTTTTACGTCGGCGCAAAATCTTTCCTTTTTTTAAGAAGACAATCGGCGATGCTAATGAGTTGGTAATGTTAGGATTTAGTTTTTTTTTTAATTACACAGCCTAGCGGTAGCCCATTGATGACGTCACGTAATTAATGCGAATTTTACCCCAACCTCTATCGTCATAAATAACCAGACAGCCACGTCAAGAATGACATCAAAAAGTTCTGTCTACAGCCTCACCCATCTGATACAGCCAATGTGTATTTGGTCCATAGCGCACGTGAGATTGACGATTACGTCATTTGCTATTGGTTTTTTTAACGAACGTGATAAATATGCCTATTGGTATTAGGAAATCTTGTTGGTTAATAGTTAAAAATCTAGATCAAGATCCACGACTAATATACATTAATATACTGCGAGGTCACTGTAAGTTGAGATAGAACTAGAAGACCTTCCAAGGTCGCAGTGACCGAAACATCTGCTATCGTGGGGTACACAAAGAACCGTGATTGATCTAGGTTCGTAAAAACGTGTCTTCTCGCACATCTAAAATAACAGAACACAATAATTCGATAAATTATGTCTCGCTATTTACCCGTAATTCCGCAGCTACGTTTCGCCCTTTTGTGTTTAACCCACACCGAGAAAATTTTAATTTAAATAAATAGAAACCTACGCTCGCATAGTTCAGGCTATTCTTTTTTTATTTAAACCTAAGGCTTATTTTCTTGAAGAAAAAATATTAGTTCTAGATGTAGGTTTAATTATAATCGAGATAATTTCCATGCGCGACCAGAATTTTAATGATTTAGGCCACATTCCAATTTTTTTCTTTACGGACATCACCGATCAGGAGACAACAGACCACTCGCGGGGTCAATAAAGTTCACAATATAAATAGAGCCAACGACTGCCGAGATATTGTCGGGAAGGGATTTGGGGGGCGGGGGGCGTCGATTGTTATGATTGAAGATGTTTGAAACCATAGAACCGGATAACACGGAAATTTAACACAAGAAAAAAAAGGTCGACACTAAATCGATTTTGATGTTTACTGTGGGCTTTTGCGTAACATTTGCGGCCTAATTCCGCAACAGGGGTGTCAAAATCGAAAAATTACGGACAAAACCGTACAAGTAGGTAGACCCTAACAGAAAACACTGAATCTAGATCTAGAATCTAGTAAACGGAGATACCCGAAAAACGATGCTAAATTTAGCCCTCGGCTATCTACGTCACGATCTAGAATCTAGGTTAGGAAGAGCCTATGCAAAACTGGTCAGGTTGGGGTCATACCGCGAGGCTCAGCAAAGGAGAGGGTTGGAAATAGACTCCGAAGTTAACGCAGACCCACGGCAAAAAAAAATAAAGGCAGAAAAAGTTTAGATCCATCAGAATTGAATTTTCTTTTTAAAATTCGATTTACGCACGGTTTTCAAGGTTTACCTATAAAATTCAAGGGGTTTTGCTCATTTTTGGGGAAATTCAAGGGTTTTTCAAGGCCTTGAGATGTTTTTTGGAATTCAAGGGTTTTTCAAGGATTCAAGGTCCGCTACGGACCCTGTGATCTATGTTTGGTTATCTAATGACATCCAAAGATCGGATATTCACTGTCATACTTCCAATGAGACAAAAACTCTCATATATGTTGCACTGTACTTCATACTTCCAATGAGACAAAAACACATATATGTTGCACTGTACTGATCTGTCTATGATACCGTTTACTTAGGAATGGGTTTTTTTTATTACTCAACCTGTTTTCTTTTTACTATTACTATGATGTTTGAGTTAAGTTAGTTAATTTAGCCAGTGGCCTATTTTTATTTAAATTAATAGAACACTTTTAAATTTAAAAAAAAAAAAATTTCTTGGTAGAGATACTCCATGCAGTTGTAGGCTTAAAATACTTAAATGCATTAAAATACTAATTTGAAAATGTATAATTGTGCACCTGGGCAGAGTTATTTCCCATTCGTCTTTTTTTCTATACTCTAAATGGGTGTTGCCCACGCATGTTTTACACTAAATGTATAAAGTAAAACTACAGTCATATCCAAAGAACCGTTTATATTCTTATTGTTAACCTGAGTTTGGTATCATTTTTTCTGTGGTTTTTTTGTTGTTATGAGTAGGCATTGCTCCACCAGTTGCATAATCAAATGTGTGTCTAAATTCAATTTTTTTTTAAATTACTGTCTTTACTTTTTAAATAAAATAAATTTTATATAGACATTAGTATAACCAGCATAATTTTTTCACCAAAAGCCTTAAGGTCTACACATACTGCTTTAGATTCAGTTCTCAAAGCCTCAGAAAAAAATGACATTAAAAGAGAGAGAGAAAAGTATGCATACAGTCAATTTGAATCATTTACCAACATCAGAATTTATTTGAGGCTAAATAACAAATATAAATTTTTAAAAAATCAGAAAATAAATGATTAAAATTTTAATGATGCAAACAGGAAAATGTAGTCAATACTAATTTGTACATGGACTAAATCATGAATGTGCAAATATAGTAGTTGGTGAGAAAATTAAATCAAATGTTAGTCCACACAACAGAGTAGAATCTGTGGTCTTTATAAAATAAATGTTTTGACACTTTCAGACCAATTTGATCTCTTTAGTCAGGAAACCAAAACAATACAACATAGCTTCTTCTCATCAAATCTAGTTCAGAAATACATGCTAATTAATCTAATGAAGATCCCTGTAAAACTTCTGTAGTACACTGCAGCTGCTAATGCTTTATGCCCCTGCACAAAGTGGCCCTAAGTTGAGTTGGTTCCTACACAAAGTGGCCCAAAGTTGGTTCCTACACAAAGTGGCCCAAAGTTGAGTTGATTCCAACAAAAGTGGCCCAAAGCTGGTTCCTACACAAAGTGGCCCAAAGTTGAGTTGGTTCCTACACAAAGTGGCCCTTAGTTGAGTTGGTTCCTACACAAAGTGGCCCAAAGTTGAGTTGGTTCCTACACAAAGTGGCCCAAAGTTGAGTTGGCTCCTGGACAAAGTGGCCCAAAGTTGAGTTGGCTCCTACACAAAGTGGCCCAAAGTAAGTTGGCTCCTCCACAAAGTGGCCCTAATGAAATTGGTTTGTTTAGATGTGTAGTTGTAATGTTGACCAATTGAAGAAAACTAACTTGGAGCTTGAATCTGTCAAAAAACAATGACAAGTCTGACAGAACAAATTATCACTTTTTTACAAGAATACATTACATCATCAGAAACAATAGATAAGGAGCACATATTGTATTATCATCAGTATCAACAGCTTTCAACTGAGAATTTTTCTCCCTTATGTTTTGATTGGAAAAGTTTCTGGGAATAAAAACTGACCTCTCCCTCGTGTCTTGATTGGAAATGTTTCTCCAAACGTTTACGTCTCCTGGGTGGTCGAGTGGCTGGTGAATCAGCTGACATTTCTTCTGGAACAACAAGTACAATATTGTTAATGTTATACTGCTAAGTGTCACCACTAAAGCCATACTGCTATGTGTCACCACAAGTTATAATGCTATGTGTCACCACAAAAGTTATACTGCTATGTGTCACCACAAGTTATACTGCTATGTGTCACCACAAGTTATACTGCTATGTGTCACCACTAAAGTTATACTGCTATGTGTCACCACAAGTTATACTGCTACGTGTCACCACAAGTTATACTGCTATGTGTCACCACAAGTTATACAGCTATGTGTCACCACAAGTTATACTGCTATGTGTCACCACTAAAGTTATACTGCTATGTGTCACCACAAAAGTCATACTGCTATGTGTCACCACAAGTTATACAGCTATGTGTCACCACAAGTTATACTGCTATGTGTCACCACAAAAGTCATACTGCTATGTGTCACCACAAGTTATACAGCTATGTGTCACCACAAGTTATACTGCTATGTGTCACCACAAGTTATACAGCTGTGTCACCACAAAAGTTATACTGCTATGTGTCACCACAAGTTATACTGCTATGTGTCACCACAAGTTATACAGCTATGTGTCACCACAAGTTATACAGCTATGTGTCACCACAAAAGTTATACTGCTATGTGTCACCACTAAAGTTATAATGCTATGTGTCACCACAACAATTTGTTGCAGTGTGTCATCACCACAATCGGTTACAGTGTGTCATCATAACAATTCATTGTGACTTGTTACCACAACATCTTGCTCATGTGTGTCACCACCATAATATGTTAATGTGTCACCACTAGTTTACAGCAAGACTAACTTCTCTCAACAATGTCAGCGGTGTCTGGAAATCCTAAGGACCAGAAATGTTCTGGCGTCTCAGGAGCTCTATACCGATCTCGATGACGTGAGCATTCTTTCATCTTCACCTTGAGGGCTTCATCAGACAGACCTGAATTCTTGTAGTACTGAAACATTTGCTTTCTCAATTTATTATTTTTTTCAAAACAAGAAATATTAAAATTATATTAAAAATCGGCACAAAAAGCACTGTAATAAAGTAACTATCTAAACCCACCTGGTGGCACTGTCTAAACCCACCTGGTGGCACTGTCTAAACCCACCTGGTGGCACTGTCTAAACCCACCTGGTGGCACTGTCTAAACCCACCTGGTGGCACTGTCTAAACCCACCTGGTGGCACTGTCTAAACCCACCTGGTGGCACTGTCTAAACCCACCTGGTGGCACTGTCTAAACCCACCTGGTGGCACTGTCTAAACCCACCTGGTGGCACTGTCTAAACCCACCTGGTGGCACTGTCTAAACCCACCCGGTGGCACTGTCTAAACCCACCCGGTAGCACTGTCTAAACCCACCCAGTAGCACTGTCTAAACCCACCCGGTGGCACTGTCTAAACCCACCCGGTGGCACTGTCTAAACCCACCTGGTAGCACTGTCTAAACCCACCTGGTAGCACTGTCTAAACCCACCTGGTGGCACTGTCTAAACCCACCTGGTGGCACTGTCTAAACCCACCTGGTAGCACCGTCTAAACCCACCTGGTAGCACTGTCTAAACCCACCCGGTGGCACTGTCTAAACCCACCCGGTGGCACTGTCTAAACCCACCTGGTAGCACTGTCTAAACCCACCTGGTGGCACTGTCTAAACCCACCTGGTGGCACTGTCTAAACCCACCTGGTAGCACTGTCTAAACCCACCTGGTAGCACTGTCTAAACCCACCTGGTGGCACTGTCTAAACCCACCTGGTGGCACTGTCTAAACCCACCTGGTAGCACCGTCTAAACCCACCTGGTAGCACTGTCTAAACCCACCCAGTGGCACTGTCTAAACCCACCTGGTGGCACTGTCTAAACCCACCTGGTAGCACTGTCTAAACCCACCTGGTAGCACTGTCTAAACCCACCTGGTAGCACTGTCTAAACCCACCTGGTAGCACTGTTTACAGCTGAATCCGTCTAACTTATCTCTCTCACTTTTCTTCCTGACAACCTGAGCATGAGCAAACTCCAAGGATTCTTGCTTTGGTACTCTGTCAACAACATCACAGTCTAACTTTGGTCAACAACATCACAGTCTAACTTTGGTCAACAACATCACAGTTTTAGTCTAACTTTGGTCAACAACATCACAGTTTTAGTCTAACTTTGGTCAACAACATCACAGTTTTAGTCTAACTTTGGTCAACAACAGCACACTATGAGTTTTTAATTTTAAAATGTGACTTTTTTGCAGTGTTGGTGCTGTTTAATGTGAATATTTTTAGATTTATCAAAATTTCAGTTAAAAGAAAGCATCCCAATGTGTTTTTTATTAAATGTTAAGATTTTAATAAACCAGTGTTACAATAAGAAAATTAATTTCTTACACTAGTCAGTCCTAATATTTTCTTGAACATGTGGAAACCTATGTTATAATTAATAGCAATTTAATTTTTTTATAATTTTAATTTTTAATATAATTTTAAGTGCTTGCATTTTCAGTGAAGAACAAGCAGATGAAATGACGTGGAGAGGTGTGTTTGCATACCTACGAAGGTCCATAGGACGATGATGATCATTTTTAAAGTTAAATATTTTTTTATTTGTTTACTATAAAGACATTTTGACTTGTGACTAAGAATGATAAAATTACCAGATTTTTGAGTTGGAACTAACCTATCAAAGCTGTCATTAAACCAGTCAATCTGTAATTCAGTTTTCACCTCCACCATTGCAGTGGTCAGCTCCTGTAATGGTGGTGGTGTAGTGGTCAGTTCCTGTAATGGTGGTGATGAAGTGGTCAGTTCCTGTAATGGTGGTGGTGTAACTGGCCTGTCCAAAGCATGACTCCCATCTTCAAATGACACATCAGAATCCCCATGGTAACAAGAATACTCATCAGTGAAGGGAACTAAAGTCTGGGTAAAGTCACAGCTCATATCTGCAAGCAGGAGATTAGTCATATCATTAGCTCTTCCCATCTTTACTGGGATTTGACAGGAGAAAGCTAATTATGTTTTTATAAATAAATTCGAACACTAATGGGAATTTTTTTTTTTAATGTGATTAAAAAACAAATTATTGACCCAATGAATTTTTTTCCAATCTTACACATTAGCTACAAAATGTTCTATTTCACCATCATATTGTATTATGTTATTGATAGACAGCATTAGGACAGACGATAACATGACAGACAGCATTAGGACAGACAACAACATGACAGACAGCATTAGGACAGACAACAACATGACAGACAGCATTAGGACAGACAACAACATGACAGACAGCATTAGGACAGACAACAACATTAGGACAGACCACAACATGACAGACAGCATTAGGACAGACCACAACATGACAGACAGCATTAGGACAGACAACAACATGACAGACAGCATTAGGACAGACAACAACATGACAGACAGCATTAGGACAGACAACAACATGACAGACAGCATTAGGACAGACAACAACATTAGGACAGACCACAACATGACAGACAGCATTAGGACAGACAACAACATGACAGACAGCATTAGGACAGACCACAACATGACAGACAGCATTAGGACAGACCACAACATGACAGACAGCATTAGGACAGACAACAACATGACAGACAGCATTAGGACAGACCACAACATGACAGACATCATTAGGACAGACCACAAAATGACAAACATCATTAGGACAGACCACAACATGACAGACAGCATTAGGACAGACCACAACATGACAGACAGCATTAGGACAGACCACAACATTAGGACAGACAACAACATGACAGACAGCATTAGGACAGACCACAACATGACAGACAGCATTAGGACAGACCACAACATAACAGACAGCATTAGGACAGACAACAACATTAGGACAGACCACAACATGACAGACAGCATTAGGACAGACCACAACATGACAGACAGCATTAGGACAGACCACAACATGACAGACAGCATTAGGACAGACCACAACATGACAGACAGCATTAGGACAGACCACAACATGACAGACAGCATTAGGACAGACCACAACATGAAAGACAGCATTAGGACAGACCACAACATGACAGACAGCATTAGGACAGACAACAACATGACAGACCACAGCATTAGGACAGACAACAACATGACAGACAGCATTAGGACAGACCACAACATGACAGACAGCATTAGGACAGACCACAACATGACAGACAGCATTAGGACAGACAGCATTAGGACAGACCACAACATGACAGACAGCATTAGGACAGACCACAACATGACAGACAGCATTAGGACAGATCACAACATGACAGACAGCATTAGGACAGACCACAACATGACAGACAGCATTAGGACAGACCACAACATGACAGACAGCATTAGGACAGACAGCATTAGGACAGACCACAACATGACAGACAGCATTAGGACAGACCACAACATGACAGACAGCATTAGGACAGACCACAACATGACAGACAGCATTAGGACAGACCACAACATGACAGACAGCATTAGGACAGACCACAACATGACAGACAGCATTAGGACAGACCACAACATGAAAGACAGCTTTAGGACAGACCACAACATGACAGACAGCATTAGGACAGACCACAACATGACAGACAGCATTAGGACAGACAGCATTAGGACAGACCACAACATGACAGACAGCATTAGGACAGACCACAACATGACAGACAGCATTAGGACAGACAGCATTAGGACAGACCACAACATGACAGACAGCATTAGGACAGACCACAACATGACAGACAGCATTAGGACAGACCACAACATGACAGACAGCATTAGGACAGACCACAACATTAGGACAGACCACAACAGGACAGACCACAACATGAAAGACAACATTAGGACAGACCACAACATGACAGACAGCATTAGGACAGACAGCATTAGGACAGACCACAACATTAGGACAGACCACAGCATTAGGACAGACCACAACATTAGGACAGACCACAACATGACAGACAGCATTAGGACAGACCACAACATGACAGACAGCATTAGGACAGACCACAACATGACAGACAGCATTAGGACAGACCACAACATGACAGACACTATTAGGACAGACCACAACATGACAGACAGCATTAGGACAGACCACAACATGACAGACAGCATTAGGACAGACCACAACATGACAGACAGCATTAGGACAGACCACAACATGACAGACAGCATTAGGACAGACCACAACATGACAGACAGTATTAGGACAGACCACAACATAACAGACAGCATTAGGACAGACAACAACATGACAGACAGCATTAGGACAGACAACAACATGACAGACAGCATTAGGACAGACCACAACATGACAGACAGCATTAGGACAGACAACAACATGACAGACAGCATTAGGACAGACAGCATTAGGACAGACCACAACATGACAGACAGCATTAGGACAGACCACAACATGACAGACAGCATTAGGACAGACCACAACATGACAGACAGCATTAGGACAGACCACAACATGACAGACAGCATTAGGACAGACCACAACATGACAGACAGCATTAGGACAGACCACAACATGACAGACAGCATAAGGACAGACCACAACTTGACAGACAGCATTAGGACAGACCACAACATGACAGACAGCATTAGGACAGACCACAACATGACAGACAGCATTAGGACAGACCACAACATGACAGACAGCATTAGGACAGACAGCATTAGGACAGACCACAACATGACAGACAGCATTAGGACAGACAGCATTAGGACAGACCACAACATGACAGACAGCATTAGGACAGACCACAACATGACAGACAGCATTAGGACAGACCACAACATGACAGACAGCATTAGGACAGACCACAACATGACAGACAGCATTAGGACAGACCACAACATGACAGACAGCATTAGGACAGACCACAACATTAGGACAGACCACAACATGACAGACAGCATTAGGACAGACCACAACATGACAGACAGCATTAGGACAGACAGCATTAGGACAGACCACAACATGACAGACAGCATTAGGACAGACCACAACATGACAGACAGCATTAGGACAGACAGCATTAGGACAGACCAAAACATTAGGACAGACCACAACAGGACAGACAGCATTAGGACAGACCACAACATGACAGACAGCATTAGGACAGACCACAACATGACAGACAGCATTAGGACAGACCACAACATGACAGACAGCATTAGGACAGACCACAACATGACAGACATCATTAGGACAGACCACAACATGAAAGACAGCATTAGGACAGACCACAACATGACAGACAGCATTAGGACAGACCACAACATAACAGACAGCATTAGGACAGACAACAACATGACAGACCACAGCATTAGGACAGACAACAACATGACAGACAGCATTAGGACAGACCACAACATGACAGACAGCATTAGGACAGACCACAACATGACAGACAGCATTAGGACAGACAGCATTAGGACAGACCACAACATGACAGACAGCATTAGGACAGACCACAACATGACAGACAGCATTAGGACAGATCACAACATGACAGACAGCATTAGGACAGACCACAACATGACAGACAGCATTAGGACAGACCACAACATGACAGACAGCATTAGGACAGACAGCATTAGGACAGACCACAACATGACAGACAGCATTAGGACAGACCACAACATGACAGACAGCATTAGGACAGACCACAACATGACAGACAGCATTAGGACAGACCACAACATGACAGACAGCATTAGGACAGACCACAACATGACAGACAGCATTAGGACAGACCACAACATGAAAGACAGCTTTAGGACAGACCACAACATGACAGACAGCATTAGGACAGACCACAACATGACAGACAGCATTTGGACAGACAGCATTAGGACAGACCACAACATGACAGACAGCATTAGGACAGACCACAACATGACAGACAGCATTAGGACAGACAGCATTAGGACAGACCACAACATGACAGACAGCATTAGGACAGACCACAACATGACAGACAGCATTAGGACAGACCACAACATGACAGACAGCATTAGGACAGACCACAACATTAGGACAGACCACAACAGGACAGACCACAACATGAAAGACAACATTAGGACAGACCACAACATGACAGACAGCATTAGGACAGACAGCATTAGGACAGACCACAACATTAGGACAGACCACAGCATTAGGACAGACCACAACATTAGGACAGACCACAACATGACAGACAGCATTAGGACAGACCACAACATGACAGACAGCATTAGGACAGACCACAACATGACAGACAGCATTAGGACAGACCACAACATGACAGACAGCATTAGGACAGACCACAACATGACAGACAGCATTAGGACAGACCACAACATGACAGACAGCATTAGGACAGACCACAACATGACAGACAGCATTAGGACAGACCACAACATGACAGACAGCATTAGGACAGACCACAACATGATAGACAGCATTAGGACAGACCACAACATGACAGACAGTATTAGGACAGACCACAACATAACAGACAGCATTAGGACAGACAACAACATGACAGACAGCATTAGGACAGACAACAACATGACAGACAGCATTAGGACAGACCACAACATGACAGACAGCATTAGGACAGACAACAACATGACAGACAGCATTAGGACAGACAGCATTAGGACAGACCACAACATGACAGACAGCATTAGGACAGACCACAACATGACAGACAGCATTAGGACAGACCACAACATGACAGACAGCATTAGGACAGACCACAACATGACAGACAGCATTAGGACAGACAGCATTAGGACAGACCACAACATGACAGACAGCATTAGGACAGACCACAACATGACAGACAGCATAAGGACAGACCACAACTTGACAGACAGCATTAGGACAGACCACAACATGACAGACAGACCACAACATGACAGACAGCATTAGGACAGACCACAACATGACAGACAGCATTAGGACAGACCACAACATGACAGACAGCATTAGGACAGACAGCATTAGGACAGACCACAACATGACAGACAGCATTAGGACAGACAGCATTAGGACAGACCACAACATGACAGACAGCATTAGGACAGACCACAACATGACAGACAGCATTAGGACAGACCACAACATGACAGACAGCATTAGGACAGACCACAACATGACAGACAGCATTAGGACAGACCACAACATGACAGACAGCATTAGGACAGACCACAACATTAGGACAGACCACAACAGGACAGACCACAACATGAAAGACAACATTAGGACAGACCACAACATGACAGACAGCATTAGGACAGACAGCATTAGGACAGACCACAGCATTAGGACAGACCACAGCATTAGGACAGACCACAACATTAGGACAGACCACAACATGACAGACAGCATTAGGACAGACCACAACATGACAGACAGCATTAGGACAGACCACAACATGACAGACAGCATTAGGACAGACCACAACATAACAGACAGCATTAGGACAGACAACAACATGACAGACCACAGCATTAGGACAGACAACAACATGACAGACAGCATTAGGACAGACCACAACATGACAGACAGCATTAGGACAGACAACAACATGACAGACAGCATTAGGACAGACCACAACATGACAGACAGCATTAGGACAGACCACAACATGACAGACAGCATTAGGACAGACCACAACATGACAGACAGCATTAGGACAGACCACAGCATTAGGACAGACAACCAACATGACAGACAGCATTAGGACAGACAACAACATGACAGACAGCATTAGGACAGACAACAACATGACAGACAGCATTAGGACAGACCACAACATGACAGACAGCATTAGGACAGACCACAACATGACAGACAGCATTAGGACAGACCACAACATGACAGACAGCATTAGGACAGACCACAACATGACAGACAGCATTAGGACAGACAACAACATAACAGACAGCATTAGGACAGACCACAGCATTAGGACAGACCACAACATGACAGACAGCATTAGGACAGACAACAACATGACAGACAGCATTAGGACAGACAACAACATGACAGACAGCATTAGGACAGACAACAACATGACAGACAGCATTAGGACAGACCACAATATGACAGACAGCATTAGGACAGACCACAACATGACAGACAGCATTAGGACAGACAACAACATGACAGACAGCATTAGGACAGACCACAACATGACAGACAGCATTAGGACAGACCACAACATAACAGACAGCATTAGGACAGACAACAACATGACAGACCACAGCATTAGGACAGACCACAACATGACAGACAGCATTAGGACAGACAACAACATGACAGACAGCATTAGGACAGACAGCATTAGGACAGACCACAACATGACAGACAGCATTAGGACAGACAGCATTAGGACAGACCACAACATGACAGACAGCATTAGGACAGACCACAGCATTAGGACAGACAACAACATGACAGACAGCATTAGGACAGACCACAACATGACATCTAACAGTGTGACATTTTCCTCCAGAAATTTGTTATGTTAAATCTATTACAGAAATGACAGCAATTAAAGTTCTAACCACAGATGATCACCTTTATTAGTGACTGTGGGGAGATGAGACTTGGTAGGAAAAAACTTGAAACTTCTGGAGCTTGAAGGGATACTACACAGTAGCTGTGAGATCACCTGAAAGATGAGGTTAACTTGAAGGACAGATGGCATGACATGTAACTACAGCTGACATATGAGACATGTAACTACAGCTGACATATGAGACATGTAACTACAGCTGACATATGAGACATGTAACTACAGCTGACATATGAGACATGTAACTAAAGCTCACATATGAGACATGTAACTACAGCGGACATATGAGACATGTAACTACATCTGACATATGAGACATGTAACTACAGCTGACATATGAGACATGTAACTAAAGCTGACATATGAGACATGTAACTAAAGCTGACATATGAGACATGTAACTACATCTGACATATGAGACATGTAACTACAGCTGACATATGAGACATGTAACTACATCTCACATATGAGACATGTAACTACAGCGGACATATGAGACATGTAACTACATCTGACATATGAGACATGTAACTACAGCTGACATATGAGACATGTAACTAAAGCTGACATATGAGACATGTAACTACATCTCACATATGAGACATGTAACTACATCTGACATATGAGACATGTAACTACAGCCGACATATGAGACATGTAACTACAGCTGACATATGAGACATGTAACTACAGCTGACATATGAGACATGTAACTAAAGCTGACATATGAGACATGTAACTACAGCTGACATATGAGACATGTAACTACATCTGACATATGAGACATGTAACTACAGCTGACATATGAGACATGTAACTACATCTGACATATGAGACATGTAACTACAGCTGACATATGAGACATGTAACTACAGCTGACATATGAGACATGTAACTACATCTCACATATGAGACATGTAACTACATCTGACATATGAGACATGTAACTACATCTGACATATGAGACATGTAACTACAGCTGACATATGAGACATGTAACTACATCTGACATATGAGACATGTAACTACAGCTGACATATGAGACATGTAACTACATCTGACATATGAGACATGTAACTACATCTGACATATGAGACATGTAACTACATCTGACATATGAGACATGTAACTACAGCTGACATATGAGACATGTAACTAAAGCTGACATATGAGACATGTAACTACAGCTGACATATGAGACATGTAACTACATCTCACATATGAGACATGTAACTACAGCTGACATATGAGACATGTAACTACAGCTGACATATGAGACATGTAACTACATCTCACATATGAGACATGTAACTACAGCTGACATATGAGACATGTAACTACATCTCACATATGAGACATGTAACTACAGCTGACATATGAGACATGTAACTACATCTCACATATGAGACATGTAACTACAGCTGACATATGAGACATGTAACTAAAGCTGACATATGAGACATGTAACTACAGCTGACATATGAGACATGTAACTACATCTCACATATGAGACATGTAACTACATCTCACATATGAGACATGTAACTAAAGCTGACATATGAGACATGTAACTACAGCTGACATATGAGACATGTAACTAAAGCTGACATATGAGACATGTAACTACAGCTGACATATGAGACATGTAACTACATCTGACATATGAGACATGTAACTACATCTGACATATGAGACATGTAACTACAGCGGACATATGAGACATGTAACTACATCTGACATATGAGACATGTAACTACAGCTGACATATGAGACATGTAACTACAGCGGACATATGAGACATGTAACTAAAGCTGACATATGAGACATGTAACTACATCTGACATATGAGACATGTAACTACATCTGACATATGAGACATGTAACTACAGCTGACATATGAGACATGTAACTACATCTCACATATGAGACATGTAACTACAGCTGACATATGAGACATGTAACTACAGCTGACATATGAGACATGTAACTACATCTCACATATGAGACATGTAACTACAGCTGACATATGAGACATGTAACTACAGCTGACATATGAGACATGTAACTACAGCGGACATATGAGACATGTAACTAAAGCTGACATATGAGACATGTAACTACATCTGACATATGAGACATGTAACTACATCTCACATATGAGACATGTAACTACAGCGGACATATGAGACATGTAACTACATCTGACATATGAGACATGTAACTACATCTCACATATGAGACATGTAACTACAGCTGACATATGAGACATGTAACTACAGCTGACATATGAGACATGTAACTACATCTCACATATGAGACATGTAACTAAAGCTGACATATGAGACATGTAACTACAGCTGACATATGAGACATGTAACTACATCTGACATATGAGACATGTAACTACATCTGACATATGAGACATGTAACTACAGCTGACATATGAGACATGTAACTACATCTGACATATGAGACATGTAACTACAGCGGACATATGAGACATGTAACTACATCTGACATATGAGACATGTAACTACAGCTGACATATGAGACATGTAACTACATCTGACATATGAGACATGTAACTACAGCTGACATATGAGACATGTAACTACAGCTGACATATGAGACATGTAACTACAGCTGACATATGAGACATGTAACTACAGCGGACATATGAGACATGTAACTACAGCTGACATATGAGACATGTAACTACAGCTGACATATGAGACATGTAACTACATCTGACATATGAGACATGTAACTACAGCGGACATATGAGACATGTAACTACATCTGACATATGAGACATGTAACTACATCTGACATATGAGACATGTAACTACATCTGACATATGAGACATGTAACTACAGCTGACATATGAGACATGTAACTAAAGCTGACATATGAGACATGTAACTACAGCTGACATATGAGACATGTAACTACATCTCACATATGAGACATGTAACTACAGCGGACATATGAGACATGTAACTACATCTGACATATGAGACATGTAACTACATCTGACATATGAGACATGTAACTACAGCTGACATATGAGACATGTAACTACAGCTGACATATGAGACATGTAACTACAGCTGACATATGAGACATGTAACTACAGCTGACATATGACACATGTAACTGCAACTGATATATGTAACTGCAACTGATATATGTAACTGCAACTGATATATGCAATTTGACTGCAGCTGACACATGACATGTAACTATAGCTTATATGACTTTTGACTAAAGTTGACATTCACCAACAGTTCTCATATTACATTTAGCATTACACATATTTTAGTACTGTGAATAAACATGACTGTAAGCATGTTAATTGCAGATGAAGTAGAGTTTATCAGATGTGGGTCACAACTAAGCTATCTTGCAGGAAAGTTAAGGTAAGAACACTTAGGACTTTTGGCCTATAAAATTAAAAAGCCACAAATTACTAGTAACCTATAAAACAAAGAAGCAGAACGTACTGGACCATAAAAAAGAGAAGTAGAAAGTACTGGACCAAGTACTTAAAACCAAGAATTTAAAAGTACTACAGGTAAATGACCAGTGAATTCTTACCTTTGGGCTTGGAGCAATAGTTTCATTGTCTTCATCTGTAAAGGAGCCATCACAACTTGCATCACTTCCTCTATCAATTGAGTGGACAGAAAATCTAGAGCTCAATCTTTCACCATCTGTAACTGTAGCCAGCTGTGATATTGTCTCTTGATAGGCCTTAGACATTCCTCCAGTATGTGCTGGTTCACTATCCAGATGCTGATGAGAATCAACTTGTTTCCCTTTAGGCTGTGGTTGTTTCCCTTTTGGCTGTGGTTGTTTCCCTGCTGCCTGCCCCTTCTCTAAGTTCACTTGAGTGATCAGATGTGGTGCAATGGTCTCATCAAATATATTTGATTCCTGAATAGTTTCATCCATATTTTTACTTTGCCCTGGTAATGTATGCTGCAATTCCATTCAATAACTCATTTTTATCAATAGCTCTTTTGATGGCCACAACATTGAATCAAAGTAAAAAGTTAGGAAGCTGATGCTAGTTCACATTTTGGGATGACTAGTAATTATTTTTAAAAAAAAAACTAGAGTACTCGTCAAACAAACTGCTGCAGGCTGATGCAATATTTTAAAAGTATTTCAACAGTGCATTACCAATAGTAAACAAAGCAGGTGTTGTATTTCTTGGATAATAGTTGTTGGTTAAACTACCACAGGGGCGCTGGGACCCTTGTTAATTTAATCATTTAATGTCATGTGCCGCCATGTCTTTACTATAGGGCTCTCTTTAAATTGACTATAGGCCCCATAGTGCTCTTGGGGAGTAAGTGGTGCCGGCGGACACACCTGATTCAATTTAGTGAATTATTATAGTGGCCCATAGTGCTCACGGGGCAGCCCAGGGCACCAAATCGCACCCTTCTGGGGCGACATCTCTCCAAAGTTAATTCCCCTCTTCCACAGAAGATGTACCCCACACATCCTTTTATATCCATAGATTGTTTTACTTGACTTTTTTGTCAAATGGTAACGGCCTTTAGATTGTTTTACTTGACTTTTTTGTCAAATGGTAACCTCTAAAGCTGCGAACCCAAATGTCTCAAGTTTGGATCCAGGGTTTGAGTCTGTAGGACCTCCTGACTCCACCCAGCTCTGATGGGTGGAGTCTGTAGGACTTCCTGACTCCACCCAGCTCTGATGGGTAACAACTCATGTTAGACAAACAAAGGCACCTAGGCAAAATGCTGATTACACAATCATCCTGTATGTTGAGGTCATTGAAACAGTTGAACTCTACTTCATCTGCCCTATGTGCCTTGGGCACAAGAAGAGTTGATCATTTGAGTGTATGTTACTGTTGGGGCCAGCTGTGTGCCCTGGGTGTAGGCATGTTTGTTGTTTTTCCCCACGTATAGGCAAGTGAACAAAGCATTAAGCTGAGTAAGGACCAGAATGTGCCCCCCCCCCTCCCCTCCAACAAGCAATTATAATTATGCCATTTCTAATTGATGAATGAAATAAAAGTAGTTTACCTTCCTTGACATGACACCAAGAGTCTTAGAAGGTGTTGTTTTCTTCTTCTCTAACTCATCCTTGCTGCTGACATCAATGTTTTTTTCAGTTGCTTCTTGTGATCTTAAAGCTTTGGGTGAAATTGTCCTGGCCTGTGTAACCTCCAATGTTTGATGTCTAGCTGCTGATGTTGTTTGGGATTTGACTGATGTGGAGGGTAACAGCCTGACAAATGTTGCAGTAGAAATGTCTTTCACAACAGATGCAAGAGAATTTTTTCTTTCAATTTCTTCAAGTGATCTACGAATAGCTTCCTTCACCTGCTCTTCTTCAGCTGATGACTTGCTGTGCGGTGTTGCAGGTATTCTCCGTCTCCTCACCACTTGATTAAGTCTGCTCTGTTTTAAAGAACTATCCAAATTCTTTTTATTGGTTAACACATTTTTATTTTCTTTCAATAGAAGAGCTCTGGAATTAGTTTTCTCACAGACTGTCTGTCCATTTAGTTTTTTCTTGGCAGACTTGAGTTGAGCGCTGTTCCTGCTGGTCTGCTGTTTCTGCTTGTCTTCAGGTGACTCCCCTTGCTTTGCCTTGTTACCCGCATGTTTTTCACTCACAATATTCTCAGGACCGTTTCCGTCCATCTGTCCATCAGCATTTGTAGAGCATTTGTCAAGAGCATGTGTGTGGATGCGTTGTGATATGGCTTGGAACAAAAAGTGTGTAACATCATTAGAATTCTCCACATCCTGACACCGTGCTGTACTTATGTTGGCTACCTGGGTATTGAGAGTGACCTCTGACCCTGATTCGCCATCAACAGAGGTACAAGTCTCGTCTGGACTTTGGTTCAAACTTCTGGCTGCTGTTGTCAGGTTGTCTTCCATGTGCTGCCAAGGAGAGTGGACTCCTAGAGTTTCAGGAACAACTTGTGTGGTGGGTTGGCACTTGTCTAGACATTCTGTGCTGGGCTGTAACTTGTCTAGACATTCTGTTTCTGGCACCAGCACTGAGTCACTGGCTGTCACAGAACTCACTTGCAGCTCCTCTACTGGCTTTCTTCTTTTACAATCTGGCATGCCCTAAACACAAGCAATGGTTCAATGATAACATAAGGACAGAGCTACAGCACATTAGTCAACAGCAATCAGACAATGTAGAAACATGCTCTCAATAACACTTACAATCTTAAATTTAAAAAAAATAAAAACATTCATAACCAACAGAGACATCCATATCAAACAACCTCTTGATATCGGCTGTGTCTTTTCTTGAGTCTGTTTAGCGTCAGCTTGGAGGCCACTTTACTAGATAAAGATGATTGATCTACTTCACCAAACAGGTCTCCATTCATCAATGTTGTTTTACTACTAGCCTCAGTCGGCTCTTTTTGTCCTGCTTCTTTTTCACCATCAGCTGAACTACAAACTTTCCCATCTTGTGTTAAATTACTCTGTGCATTACATCCTTCCACCCTAAGTGTATGGTCCTCCTTTAGTCTAACACCTGCAATACATCAAGTCTAGTGTCTTCAATACATCAAGTCTAGTGTCTTCAATACATCAAGTCTAATGTCTTCAATACATCAAGTATAATGTCTTCAATACATCAAGTCTAATGTCTTCAATACATCAAGTCTAATGTCTTCAATACATCAAGTCTAATGTCTTCAATACATCAAGTCTAGTGTCTTCAATACATCAAGTCTAGTGTCTTCAATACATCAAGTCTAGTGTCTTCAATACATCAAGTCTAATGTCTTCAATACATCAAGTATAATGTCTTCAATACATCAAGTCTAATGTCTTCAATACATTAAGTCTATTGTCTTCAATACATCAAGTCTATTGTCTTCAATACATCAAGTCTATTGTCTTCAATACATCAAGTCTAATGTCTTCAATACATCAAGTCTAATGTCTTCAATACATCAAGTCTAATGTCTTCAATACATCAAGTCTAGTGTCTTCAATACATCAAGTCTAGTGTCTTCAATACATCAAGTCTAATGTCTTCAATACATCAAGTCTAATGTCTTCAATACATCAAGTCTATTGTCTTCAATACATCAAGTCTATTGTCTTCAATACATCAAGTCTAATGTCTTCAATACATCAAGTCTAATGTCTTCAATACATCAAGTCTAATGTCTTCAATACATCAAGTCTAGTGTCTTCAATACATCAAGTCTAGTGTCTTCAATACATCAAGTCTAATGTCTTCAATACATCAAGTCTAGTGTCTTCAATACATCAAGTCTAATGTCTTCAATACATCAAGTCTAATGTCTTCAATACATCAAGTCTAATTTCTTCAATACAGCAAGTCTAATGTCTTCAATACATCAAGTCTAATGTCTTCAATACATCAAGTCTAATGTCTTCAATACATCAAGTCTAATGTCTTCAATACATCAAGTCCAATGTCTTCAATACATCAAGTCTAGTGTCTTCAATACATCAAGTCTAATTTCTTCAATACATCAAGTCTAATGTCTTCAATACATCAAGTCTAATTTCTTCAATACAGCAAGTCTAATGTCTTCAATACATCAAGTCTAATGTCTTCAATACATCAAGTCTAATGTCTTCAATACATCAAGTCTAATGTCTTCAATACATCAAGTCCAATGTCTTCAATACATCAAGTCTAATGTCTTCAATACATCAAGTCTAGTGTCTTCAATACATCAAATCTAATGTCTCCAATACATCAAGTCTAATGTTTTGAATCTTCTTCTTCTTCTTCGTTCTTAATTTTTAGTGTTGGGAGGAATCGAGCCTTATCTGCCAGAGGGTTTGAACTCGAGACTTTTTTTTCCAACCACAAGCTTTGCCAACTCGACCATGCTTCCATCACAATTAAGGATTACGTGTCAACTGGTTATGCGCCATTGAGGCCATTGACTCCGATTTCAGCCTGCTTGTCTTTTTGGATTTGCTTCCATAGCCTTTGTCCAACCAAGAACAAACTACAAGGCAGCAGTTGTTTGATTTTGGAGTTGTCTCTCCTAGAAGAGTGGCTGTCCCCAGCTAACGAGCCTCATCTGCCCGGGGGTTCGAACTCGAGACTTTTCGGTTCAGCAACCATGAGCTTTACCGACTCGACCACGCCGACCCCTTATGTTTTGAATAAATCAATGCCGAAATGTACGTTGTTTTTAAGCGGGGTGGATCTCCTCTAAATGTTCTAGTATATTCTAGCTGGTACCCAATTTAAGCTCCCCCCCCCCACCCCACTTCCCTCTACCCTGCGCAAATTACAATGTTCCCAGAGTTCTAGGGGCCAACATGTGACCCTCAGGTGTGTCAGACAAGAGGGTATGAAAGAAAAGGAGGCTTGAGCTGTAGCTTGGGATGTGGTAGGCGTGTTTACAACGGTTTAAGGCTGGCCGCAAAGGCTGACCCCCTTTTGTTATTGGACAAGCTGATGTTTTGTTCCTCATGTTGGCCTCACGTCTTGTTTCCGTGGTCTGATATCTTGTTCCTGTTAGTATTATGACTTGTTTGCATGTCTTGTTCCTGTTAGCCTGATGTCTTGTTCCTGTGGCCTGATGTCTTGTTCCTGTTAGCCTGATGTCTTGTTCCTGTGGCCTGATGTCTTGTTCCTGTTAGCCTGATATCTTGTTCCTGTTAGTCTGATGTCTTGTTCCTGTGGCCTGATGTCTTGTTCCTGTGGCCTGATGTCTTGTTCCTGTTAGCCTGATGTCTTGTTCCTGTTAGCCTGATGTCTTGTTCCTGTTAGCCTGATGTCTTGTTCCTGTTAGCCTGATGTCTTGTTCCTGTTAGCCTGATGTCTTGTTCCTGTTAGCCTGATGTCTTGTTCCTGTGGCCTGATGTCTTGTTCCTGTTAGCCTGATGTCTTGTTCCTGTTAGCCTGATGTCTTGTTCCTGTTAGCCTGATGTCTTGTTCCTGTGGCCTGATGTCTTGTTCCTGTTAGTCTGATGTCTTGTTCCTGTTAGCCTGATGTCTTGTTCCTGTTAGCCTGATATCTTGTTCCTGTTAGCCTGATGTCTTGTTCCTGTTAGCCTGATATCTTGTTCCTGTTAGCCTGATGTCTTGTTCCTGTTAGCCTGATGTCTTGTTCCTGTTAGCCTGATGTCTTGTTCCTGTGGCCTGATGTCTTGTTCCTGTTAGCCTGATGTCTTGTTCCTGTTAGCCTGATGTCTTGTTCCTGTTAGCCTGATGTCTTGTTCCTGTGGCCTGATGTCTTGTTCCTGTTAGTCTGATGTCTTGTTCCTGTTAGCCTGATGTCTTGTTCCTGTTAGCCTGATATCTTGTTCCTGTTAGCCTGATGTCTTGTTCCTGTTAGCCTGATATCTTGTTCCTGTTAGCCTGATGTCTTGTTCCTGTTAGCCTGATGTCTTGTTCCTGTTAGCCTGATGTCTTGTTCCTGTTAGCCTGATATCTTGTTCCTGTTAGCCTGATGTCTTGTTCCTGTTAGCCTGATGTCTTGTTCCTGTTAGCCTGATGTCTTGTTCCTGTTAGCCTGATATCTTGTTCCTGTTAGCCTGATGTCTTGTTCCTGTTAGCCTGATGTCTTGTTCCTGTTAGCCTGATATCTTGTTCCTGTTAGCCTGATGTCTTGTTCCTGTTAGTTTGATGTCTTGTTCCTATGGCTGGATGTCTGGTTCCCATGGTCTGATGTCTTATTCCTGTTAGCCTGATGTCTAATCATTATGTGTCAGGCTAGATTGTTTAGAGTACTACAGTTTGTTCATTGAAGGATTCAATCTTGGCTTAAGTAGTGAAGGTAAAACTATGGAAGATAACATTTTCCTGTGTGATTCTGTACTGTACGATCATGTATAGGCCTATTTTAAACACAAATAATTGATGTAATAGCCAGTTGAAATGTACATTTTATCATCTTTGTCGTTTTTCTTGTATTAGAATTTCTAAGGATATGTTATAAAATATAGAGGTTGGACAGTAACTTAATTGTGTTCTTGTTGTGGTTAGAGAGTCAAATTGGGTCAGCCCACTTTTAAACATGTAAACCATCGCGACGTTGAATAAGTGTATTGAAGACTGTGTTAAGAAGTTTTAATTTTAGTTTAGTATTAGAGTTGTTTAGGTGTGTAATTGGTTTGCTCAGGTTTTGTAAACCCCCTTATCCCAACGAGGATGCACAGATCGCATGAACAACAATGACATCTAACACATCAGTTCTCTACCCTTACATATCTTACATATATCTAATATATAAAGTTTAATTCTGTATGTGGCGGGGTGGGGGGGGGGGGGGGTGGGGGCGGCGCTGATTCCAAAGAGATATAAAAAAATTGACTTCATTGTCATAGTGTTATACCTCTAAAGTGCTCACTGTCTAAATAAATTATTTAAAAAATTGAAGGTGTTGTTAAACAATTTTCATTTTTCAAACTTAAAGTGATAATTGTCTGCATGTCCATCAAACAAAAATTTAAAAAAATGTATCTCCTTTAATGATTTACATTTAGCTCTTTAGCACTCCTTACATCCGTTGATAAATTAGGAAAATACAATTACTTCCCTTTATAAACATTACATCGGGGGGGGGGGGGGGGGAAGGATGTACTTTTTATTACTTTGTTTTGGTGTTGAGAAAAAATTAATTACATAATTAGCATGGATTGATCAAGTGAAATGTGGTGGGTATTTCAAATACTGCCTTTTATTTATTTTATACACGGAACATATTGTTTACTAATTATTTTTAATCAAAGACAGTTGACGTACAAAAAGACATCTTTATTCGGGAATAGAAATTCCCTTTTGTCTGTCTTTTTTTGCACACGAAGGGGCATTTGGTTTTGTCTGTCGCACAAAACATGTTGAAAGTAGTCTTTTTTTTTACCTCACCTTTGTACCATTTTTACTTTCTTGTATATACAAAGTATAGAGAAAGTCTTGTAATCGTGATACTGGAAAAACATAATTTTGCAATCTTGTCCGTATGTCTGTTTGTGTGTGTCTGTCTGTCTGTGTGTAAACACAATAACTTGAATACCGTTACAGCTAGGTTGATGAAATTTCATATATAAGTATTTTATCAAAATCGTAGATCCGTATCAACTTTTGAGAGTTTTCAGATAACCGGAAGTGGTACTTTTTCAACTTTGAATTTTTCAAAAGCCTATAACTTGAGTACTATTTCAGACAGATAATTGAAATTTCATATGTAAGTAAAAGATCTAACTCTCTACCTTCTGTAAAGTTTTGAATAATTTCCGTTGACCGGAAGTACTAATTTACGCTATTTCCGATTTATCAAAAAACGCATGTAAATTTATAAAGTACTAATAATGTTGCTCACTATTATGCACATCTTTATTTGGCGTTCATTTGGTGTGCAATTCTTTTTTCTATGAGATTTTATTCTATTTTAAAAAGTTTAAGTATTTAAAGAGGATAAAAAATCATGTCTATATCCCGAGTTGCCATTCCCCGTAGTGTTATATTAGAATATTCGAGAAAGTTTAGGGGATATCACTCCCGGTTTATTTAAGCAGATGTTTTAACAGTACATTTAGCAGTGTAAAGTTTTTCTACTTTCTCGATTGTAAAGGCAAAATGGAAGAAACTATTTCTTTTAAGAGCTTATGTTTTATAGCTTCAAAGCTTCCATCAGATGACATTGCTTTGCACAGTAAATATCTGTAAACAATAACAGTTTAGAACCCTGCTCCTAAATGTCCTCTACATTAAATTTTATCTTTCCATTTGCGGAAAAGCTTAAGGTATTACAGTCGTTCACTAAATTGAATCAGGCGCATCCGTCGGCACGCCGTCAAGGTTCTATTTGGCACCCTGGTATATCCTGTGAGCGCTAGGGTGCGTAATTTCGTTTTAAACAGTGCAATAGACTATGAATAAGAAAAGTTACTATAGTCTTTGACTGAATCAAATCCGGGCGTCCTCAGGTGCCCTGACAGGGTGCTATTTTGATGTCTCGAAAAGCCGAGGCTATGTATACACGAGCATTTCAGGACCTCGCAGATATCGCAGAAAAAATGCACATACACTTATCTCCACGGTTTATTGTCACTGACTTTGAGAAAGCTGCAATCAATGCTTGCATTGAATTCCCAACAGCTACAAGTAAAGGGTGTTTTTTTTCCATTTTAGCCAAAATATATGGCGAAAGCTACAAGCGTTGGACTTGGCACTTCTTTATGGTCAGGATCCAAGATTTTGCCTGCTGATGCGGCAATAGCAGCACTGGCATTTCTTCCAAGTGCAGATATTCCGGCAGCATTTAATGAATTAAAAAACATTTTCCCACCAAACACAGCTGAGTTGGTGAAGTGGTTTGATGAGACCTACGTTTGTGGTCAAGTGAGGTTGTTAAACACAAGAGAGGTGAGGGTTCCACCACTTTTTCCACCAGAGTTCTGGTCTGTACATGACAATCATGTACATGGGATTCCTAGGACCCAAAACACGGTTGAGTGGTGAAACAGGAGGTGGCAGGTAATTGTAGGGAAGGATCACCCTGGAGTCTTTTGTTTACTAAACAAACTAAAGCAGGAACAAGGTAGAGTTGAAGTAGAGATGGCGGCAATATTGCTTGGAGAGCCAGCAAAAAAGCGAAGAAAAAAAACAATATTTACAGAAAGAGGACAGGACAACAAATGTAATTGCAGAAAGGGGAAACAGAACTACACTTGAATTTATGCGTGGGGTCGCGTACAATTTGTCATACTAGGCCCTATTTTTTTCTATTTATTTGTAATTTACCTTTATCATTATGTAACTGGTTTTCAATAAAAATTAAACATGTCTGTAGTTGTAGTTTGTTGTTTTATAAAACTTGTAGGCCTTTTGTCTTGTCGGCCTTTTGTCTTGTTGGATTTTTTTATGTCGGACTTTTGTATGTCGGACTTTTGTCTCATCAGCCTTTTGTCCATGTCGGCCTTTGTCCGTGTCGGACTTTTGTCCGGATCCCTAGTTTATTTGTCTAATTTTTCTGTCAATTTTCTGTTATCAGGGGTAATACTTACCCTTTAAATACATCAAGTTTACTTGTGTCTTGATTAAATTAAGCTGAACATTGGCTAATTTAAATACATTGGGCCACATGTAAGGAACAACAGATTTTAGATCTGGTATTAGACTATATCTAATTTTAAATATTCTTTTAAATATTCTTCTAAATAAATAAAAGTAAAAAAATTAAACATAGGTACTTAGTAATTTTATCTTGTTATCTTTTTCCTTGAGTAAAGTATTGAAATGCTCTTGTAGTGAGGTGTTTAGTTCCTGGAGATTTCTACATGACTGGCAGGACTCTGGACTGTTAGAAGAAAATATGTTTAAAAGTCTAGAGTAGTTACATGGCCACTTGATTAATTATATACTGATTTTTCTATCAAACAAAATCTTCTATAGCCCCACCACTTACTTAAATGCTGTCTGGACATGCTGTTTAAGGCTTACATTCTCTTCTGAAAGAATATCAACTCTAGCATGTAAATCTGTAATGGAGTTTAAAAAAAAAACATTTTACCAATGTTTTAAATTATTTTTCTGTCAAGCACAGTTGAACCAAGAGATGCTAAAATCCATTTCAATGTGTAAGTAAATATAGGCCTATGCATTACTAAACATGACTAAAAAACAACCTTGAATTATAAACAGACAAATTGTGAGTTAGACCTGATCATTTTATTGACCAAAAACTTTGTTTATTTACATTATCATATAAAAAGCATGTTTTATAAAATGGAATGGACTGTAACGCTCATCTCGCATGCCTGGTAGAAAGCCTACAAGCTTAAGTGAACTCACAATGATCCAAAGTTTTTTGTATTACTTGGTTTGGGCCAAATCCTACTATACTAGACTTAACTAGACTAGATAAGAGTCCCTTCTTATAATAGCAGATCTAGGCTACTCCTCTTACCTTAGACCTTAGTTAGACTTAACTAAATACTAGATTTAGAGTAATCTATCGTTTTAGGTCAGTAACATTGGCCGAGGCTAGTAATGTGAAAGAAACGGGATTATATGGCTTTAATACAAGTATTTTGTGATATATTTGTATCAAATATAATAGAAATAGATAATTGAATAAAAAAGCAATGTCTAGATATATCAGTATAGGCCAGAAATTAACTTTAGCAGTGTTTAAGAGCAAGATTTACTATATAAACAGCAGCCATCTGTAAATAAGAGTGGCTTCCCCTGCATATTTAACAATAAGTTAACGAACAATGAACTTAAACAAGATGGCTGCTAAAAAAACAAGCTCGTTTCGAAGCACTTTCCAAAATGGCTTCAATATCCTGTCTCGTGCAGTACTGAGTACTGAGTTGTTAAAAATGAGAGTTTCATTGTTATCGCTGAAGGGGTCATCCATAAATGACGTCACGCTTTTTTTGACGATTTTTACCTCCCCCCGTCACATGTCGTCACAAAAAGTCAGACCCCCCCCCCTAAAATGACGTCACACCTCAACCTACAACCCCCCCCCTCAAAATTGCAGTTGAATTTTTTTTAAACATCGATATTTCTTTTAAAATCTTGTCTAAATTATTACAATTTATTAAAACAGTTATCTAAAACGCTGAATAACGTCTACAATTCATTTTCTTACATTGCTTTTTTATAATGCAAAAGTGTGACGTCGCAACATCTGAACCCCCCCCCCCCTCCCCACACATCGTCACAAAATTACGGAACCCCCTCCCCCCTCGAGTGTGACGTCATTTATGGATGACCCCGAAGTGCAGTAACCGGAAGTGAGCTCTAAATTTAAATATGTTAATGATGGCTAATAAATTGTCCCTTACTTTTATATGGTACGTTCTTTGTCTTACCCGAGGCATTCGAGTGAAACTCAATCCTAATTAGCGTGTGTTTCAAGCTCAAAAATTTAAAAAAAGGCAAGTTATGTTCGAGCGAAATTGAAATTACCTACAGTTCAGCCTCTTATTGATCAAAATATAGGCCCTAGGCCAAATACATTTACTTACTAACTGGATCAGCTTACCGTGTTAAAATTCGGCCTAACTCAACACTTAGGACATTATCAAGACGCTATTATTAAATAATCACTTTGTCGAAGTGGAAATGAAGAGGGGGTGGTGTTGGGTTAGTTTAGCTATGTTTGTTTTAATAAAAACATTATAGATTATTATAGATCTAGGCCCTAGATCTAAGCAAATACTTGGATAACAAAAAACATGTAGCCTATAATTAGATCGTCTCCTGGCTGAGATGGCGGGATGACCTCTGACCCTGAAACGTCACTCGTCGTTTTTTGCGGTTTTTTTCGTTTTTTTTTAGGGGTCCGTTACACGACAAATGAAAAAACTGCCAATATCGCAAAATCTCATCATTATTTTAATGTGAGATGCTAACTAAATGGACGCCATGCCTTAAAATGTTCGAAAATATTCACGAGATACGTGGTTTTAATTAATACACGCTATTTTTGTCGAGTACTCTTGGGAAAAACTGAACTGCCGCCTTAAACGGCCCAGTACATGGTCGAAACCCCCTGGTACAAATGCAGAAATATATAATTGAGATATTTATAATGATTAATTACAGATATGTTGATACATTTTTTAAAAATCGAATATGAGGATGAGGTACCCATGCAGAAATTTCTGTCCGCTTTGTTTACTATCGTGACGTCATTGTTACGCTAGTTACCTCACAGAAACAACTAGTTTTTTGTTTTTTGCGGAATGAACCTTTAAGTCTAGTATTTTAATTATAATTCAACTGTAGCGTGTGCAGAAAAAGTAAAATTGTGGAAATTATTATTGTATTAGTAATTTTATTAAAATATGGCCTATATTGATTTTTTTTCTTCACTGTGGGCCGACAGTAGCTGCATTGAATTTAATTCGTGACCGGTGGTTAACCTCGTCAACGCTGCGTGGCCTATTCGTTTATATAATCAGCGATGCTCGTTCAGTGGCCCTTTTTCAGAGCTAGGCCTAATTTCGGGCGATTTTTAGACTTATTTGATAGGCCGTTAGCCTTTTTCATTGCTGCGTATTTTAAACAATGCTTGTTCAGCGGCCTTTTTTTTTTGGCGCTAAATAATCTGTTTACGGGCATTTTAAGCGTTTATGTGTTTATTATTTTTAAAGCTAGACGTAGATCTAGTTAAAAAAAAATGTGCGCGAGCATCATTTTCGTCTGTTAAAATTACAATTGGTTTAAGTTCAGGATGGAGATCTTTTATCGTTTTTTTTTCTTGACAGATTTTATCAAGATAGATCGACTTCAAGTTGATATTGAATATTTAAATTACTTTACCTTACTACATTAAACTACATTTGCTTTATCTTTTAAGAGAGTAGACAAAAAAAAATTAAACTAAGTTTTAAAATTAGTCTTAGTTTTTGTATCCATTCGGCTCTACTCTATTATAATTTGCTTGAAGAAGGGGGGGGGGGGGGGGTGGGGGGGGGTGGGGGGGGGGGGGGAAAGAGAGAGAGAAGTGAAAGACACCGACGATCTCGAGTACGCGTGTTTCATTCTATGACGTGTACTTACAGGCCTGCTGACCGCACAGTGACCCCTCGACCGTGGTGGGATTTTTCACCCGCGGGATAGTAAACATAGCAAGCAATCACGCGAGCTGAGTGACGATGTTTGGAGATTTTATAAAAAAAAATTACACGTCACGTTTTCAATATGAAAAAAAAAATGTAATGTAAAAAAAAAAAGACACTAATACCGTGTATGAACTTCAGCTTCCACACTGTTTGACTCAATATAATGTGAATTGAGTTAGGCCTATTTCTTGTATTTATAGACTATCATAACAATCATATTATTTTAAGCATATTTAATAAAATTAGAATTTGAAATAAAAATTATTTTTTATGGTAATTTGAGGTTATGCAAGTGTTCATTATTTCATAAAAAATGGTATGAATAACATTGTAGAGTAGAATTTGTAATGTACATTTTCCTTTACCAATTTAATAAATAACTAGATCTAGTTTTATTATCAATCAGTTGGTTTTTTTTTTTTGTTATTTTCCGGTGAGTAAATAACCTAAGTTGACCACACCCCTTAAAAAACTTGTGCACACCAGTTCACGACGTCATGCCATGCCGGCAGGGATCGAGAACGTGGGTTTTGTCATTCATTTCCATTCTAGACAAATTTTAAAATTCTCTCTTTCTCATCAACTGAGTAAGCTAGATATTTAAATGTGGTGTCCAATGTTCTCTTAGGGGTAAGGAACTTAATAGTGTATTTGAAATAACAGAATATTTTATTTAAAAAAATCCATAATTAAACCTACTATAATAAGTGCCTTTTTTTTAAAATATGAAACACACTCAACAGTAGACTAAATTTGATTCAATTTATCATTCCATTCACAGCTTCTGGGTTTGTTTATTTATAATTATATTACCTCACAGTGCAAGCTCAGTATCAGTAAGCGATTTGCTAAGCTGGCGGTGCGAGTATTTCAGTAGTATATTCTTAGTATATTGATATATTAATATATTTACTAAGTTACTATTAGTATTAAATTTAGCCATTGAATTTAGGTTTATTATTTATTATTCAATTATCTAGTAATATCTATTATCTATTATCTAGGCCTAACTATCTAGATCTAGATCTAGTAACTATACTATAATATTTGACACAAGCATATCATTCATTTCATTTCAGTGAATATCACAATGAATGGTAATCTATCGTTTTAGGTACGTAAAATCGCCCGCGACTTGTAATGTGAAAAACAGGTGACTCCTTAAATTTTAATAATTATTTCACATTTTGAGGAGGATTTATGTTTTATAAAATACAAAAATGTTTCCTTGTTTCATTTATGTACCTGTTTTTAAACAATTGAATTAAAACTTTTCCGCAATAAATGAAGACTAGCGATGTTTCCAACAGATGCAACCATGCTCATTTACTATAGCAGCCATCTTGTCTAAGTTTTATTTTTATAAGCTTATAGCGCAGATTCAGGGGGAAGCCACTCTATTTTACAAATGGCTGCTGTTTTATATAGTATATAGCAAATCTTGCTCTCAGACACTGATGTTTAAAGTTAATTTCTGGCCTTTATCGATATATTTTAGCCATTGATTTAGGTTTATTATTCATTTTTCTATAATATTTGACACAAACATATGACAATATACTTGTATTAAAGCCTTGACAATGAGGTAACGTCTTCGTACATTAATAGCCGCGGCCGATTTTACGTACCCAAACGATAGATTACCCAATGAATTGAATATAGATCTATATATATTATATAGATCTAGACTATAGTCGATAGATTACCGATAGATCTACACGTTTCAACAAAGTGTGTTATATTTTCATTCTACCTGCTACAATATTTTTGTGTATATTTGTTAACGCAGAGGAATCTACTAGTGCCATTTATTTACTTTTGAACTTCCCACTTATTATTAAGATCTAAATCTAGAGAGCTCTTTTGCGAAAAAAAGCATCTTTAAAAAGTTGCCGTTTAGCACTCTAGGGCGGGAGCGGGGGGATGAAAAGTGAAATATTTGATTAATGTATACATTCTCGACACTACATCTACCTCTTAGGTAACATGAAAGGAAAAAGTATTTTATGATGAAGATACCCTCTCGGACCTGGCGGTCTAGATCTATATGGCAAATAAAGTAGAGTAGACTGTTTCGTCGGCATTTAAATAGTGATAGTGTTGTCAGTTTCCAGAGTTTCTTCCAAGCATCTCTTCGGGGGGGCTTTTGCCCCCCCCCCCCCCGAAAAATTTTAACCGCCCCCCCCCCCCGAACGAAATGTATATAATTTATATAGAAAATATATACTTTTAACAGTGTCCGCCCCCCGAAGAAAGTTTACCGCCCCCCCCCCCCCCCGGAGAAAAAAGGCTGGAAGAAACACTGGTCAGTTCTATAATATGCCCAACCGCTTTAGTGCCCATTAGCTTAGAGTTGAATAAAGTCAGCGACGTTCTGAATCCACTACGAGTGCGAAACTAATTAATTTTTATCTCATTATGTATGATAGCTATGTACCATTGTTTCTTTATTCCACATTTTCAGTGCTATGTGTTACTGCTATGTGTTATTGAATTGCTTTATTTGTTTTAAACGGCCAATTCAATTCCTAAGAGTTCAAGTTTTTGAACATATTTTTCCTTTTCCGCGGGCGCGATTCTTTACATACGGTGAACACGTCCAGCGCTGGTGAACACGTCCAGCGCTGGCGAACAGCTGATTGTGTTTACGTCTGATGTACACCACTGTGGCGGCGGGCGTAGGTATCACGTGATTTAGGTCACGTGTTTGCAAGGACTCTATAATGAGCTTTTAATTTTTTTTCCAACCCATTTTGGCGGGGGCCATATGTATTTGTTAGATCTAGATCTAGTAGAAAACAGAAATCAGCCACTTCCGTTGTTGTTCTACGCTTTCAAGATGGCGATGAATAAGCGAGGAAACGTAAATAATTATTTTTCCCCTCATCATTTTCACTAAAAAATAAATAAATAAAAACTTTTGTAATAAGTAAATCGAGAAATATGATTAGATTATCAATGTAGGCCGTAAGCCATGGGACCGCGTGGTCGCACGTTAGATAGAGGAGTTTACACTCTTCGGACACACACCAAAAATTACGTAGGAGCGAACACTTCGTCGGTTTTTGGCTCATAGAAACTTTAATTAGCATGTCTCATGCGAAACCACGGCGCCTGCACGTAAACTGTTCATTTATGAACACTTCCGTGTCAAGTACTTCCGTTTCCTTTCTCAAGAATTATTTTTAGAAATTTTTTAACGTTGCATGGTACGCACATTTCTATTTTTACACCAGCCGGATGAAGTGACCTAGGGTTGGACTTAGGGGCAAAACTTGAACCAATCAATGCTTAGCTCAAAGGTTACACTATAAATAGCTTCTATATATGTATGGAACATCGTAAATGTCAAGGTTAATGGGTTTTTTTTGTGCTTGAACAATAAAAAAGGGGTGTTCGCTAACTTATTTGGCCTTACATGGGACCGGACAGCAACACAAAAATATTATTAAATAAGAATTTAGAGCATAAAAGGGGCTGGTTATTGAAGGGAAAGGGTCAAAATAAGGTCAAGAAGGCAGTGGAATGCGAAAGAGGAGGGGGAATCATGTGACCTGGCTGGCTTAGCAGCGTACTGCGCGAGCCGCAATGGCTGAATGGGATGAACTTTGGGAGTGTGGGAAAAAGGTTTTATACTATTAAAATTACCTCACAAACAATCAATAACACAATATATATGCATATAATATATGTTTTTATTCATTAAATTGACTTTAAATTATTCTAAATGAACAAAAAGTGCTATGTCCGATGACGGGTAAAGGTGTCCGAACACATGTAAAACTGTATTACATGTGTTCGAACACACGTTAAGACCCCCCAGTCACTATAACAAGAATAGCTTAAGTTCTATGCGTATGAATACAAAATGACACACACATTATTAAAGTAGAATGGTTGCGGATAGATATGATACTTTTTTTTGTTTTCTATGTTAAGCGGTTACTGAATGAGACCGCATGGAATTTTTACGTTGCGTTTTTTGGCTATGTGTGTCCGAAAAGTGTAAGCTCCTCTAGTTTTAATATGCGAGTAATTGCTAGTCATCAAGATCTAGACTAGTAGACTAGATGTCTAGAGTAGAGACTTGACTAGAGAATCTAGAGATAGATCTAGATCTCTAGCTAGAAATCGAAAACAAATAAAATATTTCAAAATAAAGAGGGTAATCTATCGTTTTAGGTAGATCTACGTAAAATCGCCCGCGACTAGTAGATCTATTAATAATGTGAAAAACAGGTGACTCCTTAAATTTTAGTAATTATTTCACATTTTGAGGAGGATTTTCCGATTTAGGCCTATGTTTTGAAAAATACAAAAATGGGTAGGCAAGGCCTAAGGCCTAATCTATCGTTTTAGTTTTGGTAATCTATCGTTTTAGGTAGATCTAGAGGAGCTTACACTTTTCGGACACACATAGCGAAAAAACGCAACGTAAAAATTCCATGCGGTCTCATTCAGTAACCGCTTAACATAGAAAACAAAAAAAAGTATCATATCTATCCGCAACCATTCTACTTTAATAATGTGTGTGTCATTTTGTATTCATACGCATAGAACTTAAGCTATTCTTGTTATAGTGACTGGGGGGTCTTAACGTGTGTTCGAACACATGTAATACAGTTTTACATGTGTTCGGACACCTTTACCCGTCATCAGACATAGCACTTTTTGTTCATTTAGAATAATTTAAAACAATTTAATGAATAAAAACATATATTATATGCATGTATATTGTGTTATTGATTGTTTGTGAGGTAATTTTAATAGTATAAAACCTTTTTCCCACACTCCCAAAGTTCATCCCATTCAGCCATTGCGGCTCGCGCAGTACGCTGCTAAGCCAGCCAGGTCACATGATTCCCCCTCCTCTTTCGCATTCCACTGCCTTCTTGACCTTATTTTGACCCTTTCCCTTCAATAACCAGCCCCTTTTATGCTCTAAATTCTTATTTAGTAATATTTTTGTGTTGCTGTCCGCTCCCATGTAAGGCCAAATAAGTTAGCGAACACCCCTTTTTTATTGTTCAAGCACAAAAAAACCCATTAACCTTGACATTTACGATGTTCCATTCATATATAGAAGCTATTTATAGTGTAACCTTTGAGCTAAGCATTGATTGGTTCAAGTTTTGCCCCTAAGTCCAACCCTAGGTCACTTCATCCGGCTGGTGTAAAAATAGAAATGTGCGTACCATGCAACGTTAAAAAATTTCTAAAAATAATTCTTGAGAAAGGAAACGGAAGTACTTGACACGGAAGTGTTCATAAATGAACAGTTTACGTGCAGGCGCCGTGGTTTCGCGTGAGACATGCTAATTAAAGTTTCTATGAGCCAAAAACCGACGAAGTGTTCGCTCCTACGTAATTTTTGGTGTGTGTCCGAAAAGTGTAAACTCCTCTATGTAAAATCGCCCGCGACTTGTAATGTGAAAAATAGGTGACTCCTTAAATTTTAATAATTATTTCACATTTTGAGGTGGATTTATGTTTTGAAAAAAACAAAATTTTTTCCTTGTTTCATTTATGTAGGCTTAGGGGCCTACCTGTTTTTATTTAATCAATTGATTTGCTATAGACAGCTGCCATCTGTAAATTAGAGTGGTTTACCAAACAAGATGGCTGCCAAAGTAAATGAGCATAATTGCATTTGATGAACGTTGCTAGTCTTTAGGCCTATTTAATAATTTATTAGGCCTACTGAAAAGTTTTAATACAATTGCTTAAAAAGAGGTAGGCCTACGTGAAAGAAACTTTGAAACATTTTTGTATCTTTCAAAACATAAATCCTCCTAAAAATGTGAAATAATTACTAAAATATAGGCCTAATGAGTCACCTTTTTTTTTTACACTGCTGGTCTCTGCTGATTTGATAGATTACTCTAATTTCTTACCGTAAAACTTGTTGAGATTACTATACTTAGACTACTACTAACAACCCAACACAACTACTTTATGGAAGAGTCTATTATCTGACGTCGGTATCTAAAATCGGTGTATAGTTGAATAAATATTACTTTTATTAGGGCCTATCACAATTTATTGTTATAAAGTTCAGCAAAGAAGTGTTACTATCATATTGATCTCACGAACCAACATTAAGTGTTACTAAGCAATTTAACACTGTTACACATTTCTCTCTCTCTCTATATATATATAGGCCTATATATATATATATATATATATATATATATATATATATATATATATATAGCCTATAGGCCTATATATAGCCTATAGGCCTATATATAGCCTATAGGCCTATATATAGCCTATATATATAGCCTATATATCTATAATATAAGCGGGCAAGTAGTGTGTCAGTCCTTCCTTCCGTCATCGCTATAGATTTTGGAACCACAAAAGTAAACATCGCACCAGGTAGTGCTTTGCAGTGCATCGCATTGTCTTATTATAAGTATTAGAGTAGGGTTTGTTTATATAACGACATAGAGCTATTTTATAATTTCCACTGTTTGTACAATTTTGCATAATGTCAAGAGAATATTAAATACACGCACATTGCTAAAACATATTAAAAGGATCAATGTCAAATATCGTTTTCGTTAATATTCCTAGAAAAAGTGAATACATTTTAATAAAATAATAACTATAGGTTAGAAAAATCTAATTAAACTGTTTAGTAATTTTGCCAAGGGGGTATTTTAAAAATAAATTGAACTCACGCTAAAAATGCAGATTCTGCAAGACGGAATAATTGTTGGAATAATATAATTAGCAAAATGTGAATGAAAATTATGCAGACGTGTAAGAGTACATTATTGTTGGAATATTATAATTAGCATTGATTGATAAAAGGCTATCTTTTATTTATTTCATTCACTGAATGTAATGTTTACTACTTATAATTTTTCATCAACTATAAAGCACTATTATAGACGCGTCATCACGTTCATTGGGTGCGCAATGGTTTTAGTTATGAAACTCTATTGTATTTTTTTAAAATTTAAAGTACTTGGGAAAAAAATGCGTGAATTGATAAAGTGATATAATATGGTAGGTAAAACACGGATATTTTAAATACTGCTGGGGGTTTTATAGGAGAGGCGTAGAGGGGGCGCCAAAGTGGGTTGGAAAAAAATTGCGGGGGAGGGGGGGGGGGGGTGGTGGAAAATCAAAAGTTTGAGGGTGGTGGGAGGGTGCAAATCGAAAGTTTGAGGGGGGTGCAAATCAACAGTTTGAGCGGGGGGAATTTCAAATCGAAAGTTTAAGGGGGTAGGGTGGAAATTGAAATTTTGAGGAGAGGGGGTTCAAATCGTAAGTTTGAGGGGGGGGGGGGAGTCAAATCGAAAGTTTTTTCCCGGGCGCCGGAAAGGGTCGCTACGCCTCTGTTTCATAGTCATTCACTGCGTCAGACGCGTCCGGCGGTGCTCGGAAAGGGCGCGATTTGGCGCTACGGGCTAGACTGTGAGCAATATGCCTTCATAATTGTATTGAAATTGTGTTTATGTTATGAGTGTTCTGTTTGTTTTTTCGTTGTTTTTTTTTTGCGTTCGTTTGTGTTGTGTTTAGCTTTGTTCTGTTCCCAAGTTGGTACATTTAAAATAGATTTACCGTGGCGGAGCACGGGATGCACCTAGTATATATATATATATATATATATATATATAGCCTATAGGTATATATAAATATATATATATATATATATATATATATATATATAGGCCTAAAGGATGAAAAACTATTTTTTGTCAGAATTATGACTAGATCTAGAGATTTTAAAAGGCGGAGGAAACTTATTTTTTACATTATACATGACTTTCCGTGACACCAAGATATGATGGATGTGGAGGCTTAATTAAGGCAAAGAGAAGTAAAATTAAAAAACTGAAGAAAAAAAAATCATTTACAATCGAATCACTAATTAAAGAAAAGAAGCACTTGAAACCCGAAATGAAAATTATCAAAAAAGCAAACATTCAAACAATAAGAGTAACTCTAATCTATGTAGTGATGTTAAAATAATTATTGGTACATTGTTACTAAAAATGTTATTTTCTAAATGTACAATTGATGATGTTGATTGTAAGTCATTTACATTTTTAAGGGCAGAATTTTAAAAACTTGATATTTAGGGCCTATATTAAAACAAGACAATCATATTTAAATTTAACAACACAATTAATAAATTTCCTTATCAATAGAAATTAAAGGAAACAACCCTTCATAATATTTTTAAAGTTAAATTTCTGACATTTTTATTGATTAAGTCCCTAATACTCAGAATTCAATATTGATTTATTATTCACTTATCTAAATTTTATAAAAATATCCAAAAATCTACTCATATCAAAGTCTACCCCTTCCGCACATTACCAGCTCCAGGCGAAATTTGCATACCAAAAATGATAGATTACCACCAAACGCAATGTCTAAAATTAAATTTATCAGTATAAGCCAGAAATGAACTTTAACCCCTTTACTGTGTGTCACGAGTTAACTCATCTTGATGAAAAAGCATTGGAAATCAATAACAATTTAGAGGAAGGCTAATCTAACAGCCAGTTCAACAGCGGATGATAAAATTATAAATAGGTCATCACGTGATGTCAAAAGTGAAAGTGAGGAGACATCTGTAAAAGTAGAGTGGTTTAAATTGTACCTAAAATTAAAAAAAAAAAAACTTTAAAAAGATAGCTGCTAAATTAACAAGTTTGGTTGCATCTGATGAAAAAATCGCTAATCTTTAGGCCTATTTATTACAAGCTTTTATTTAACTTGCTTCCTCTGTCTTTCTGTCTATCTCAGTATCAGTCATCCTGGATTGAAACTGGCGAAGGAAATTTCAAGCACATAAAAAATTGTACTTGACCACTGTGACACACAATTGGAAGTGAGGGAATACACTCAGAAATTTCAAAATTTCCCATAACAATCACTAAAAACCATAGACAAACAAATAAAACCAACTATATTTTTCACAGTTTGTAATATCTAATTAAGCCCTGGACTGCATTACTACCAGTAAATTATTATATAATATAATATATTATTTCTAAGTGAATTTATTCTGATTATTTTCCTACTTGGATGTGTATTTGTAATTCCTACCTAGGTGCTTCTAAGTGGATTTATTCTAGCAAGCTGACCCGCGGCGTATCATACGCCACTACTTAGTTGTTTTATTTTCTACTTTTCAGTACTTTATAGTTAGTGAATTTGACACTACCCTCCCTTCCATTCTCTTTCCCCCCCCCCCCCCCCCCCCCCCCCCCGCGGCCACTGTGAAAGCAGCCGTCCATGACGACAGTTTATGGACGGCAATGAAAAGATCAAGCAGAACTTCTTACCTCTCCTTAGTTTCAAATCGTTTAATAGCTAAATTAATTGCCCCTAATAGCCATTACTAATTTGTCCCGGCTCTGTAAACAATCAAACAATCTAGGGTGGGTGGTAACTATATGCCTAGAGAACGGGGGGGGGCTAACGGCGAGCGTTTACGTGGTGTCTCGCATGGTCTCCATGAAGAGAATTATATATATAATTTTCCTAATTGGATATTTGTAATTGTCCTAATTGGATGTGTATTTGTAATTTTCCTAATTGGATGTGTATTTGTAATTTTCCTAATTGGATGTGTGTAATTCCTCTCTAGGTGCGTCTTCCCCCAGAGGTCAACAGAATCCTGTATGTCAAAAACCTTCCGTACAAGATAACAGCAGAAGAAATGTATGACATTTTTGGAAAGTATGGTGCTATCAGGCAAATACGTGTGTAAGTATAATTAATTGATTACATGTTAAGTACAGTTTATTACAAGTAGTAAGTACAGTTGTTTGTTTATAGATTGTTTTGCATGAAGTCCTTTAGTAACTGGTTGAACCAATTTAAACTGTTGTAAACTATTGATTCATTTGTTCAGTTTTTAAATGAGAAAAAAAAATGTGACAAGCTTTGCCTAAGGTTGTTAACATGAATTAATTCTGTATCTGATGTTCAAACAAACTTTTATCTCCTCTAGAGGCAACACCCCAGAAACAAAAGGAACAGCTTTTGTTGTGTATGAAGACATCTTTGATGCCAAGAATGCTTGTGATCATCTGTCTGGCTTCAATGTTTGCAATCGTTACTTGGTCGTCCTCTATTACCAGTCAACTAGGGTCAGTTCTGTTAAGATTTTTTCTTTGACAAGTTCTCACCCAGAAATATCAACCAATCATCCCTTAACCCCAATAGGGGGTACCACAATTTTCTGCCATTGGTCTGGGTCCACTGTTACTTTGAATAGTTATACATAAATATAGGCATGATAAAAAGATGAATGTAGTACTTTCTTGTGTTCTTGATGTAGTAATGTCTGGTAAAATCCCTCCCACAGGCCTTTAAGAAGACAGATACAGAGAAGAAAAAACAGGAGCTAGACCAGATGAAAACAAAATATGGCTTGTCTACCCCAGAGAGCAATAAATAGCTAGCCAGTCATTCAGTCATTGTATATACTTGAATACATGTCGTGCGAGGGAAGGTTGGATGGGTATGCATGTGTGAAATTGGTTCATCAAAACATCACTCACAATCTATCATTGAATCATCTGTAGTTGTCACGCTTTCCATTGTCAGCAGTGAGTTTTTGGTCAAGTTTAGTATTGACGGCCATTATAGTACAGTTTGCACCAAACTTTATCTGACTGTTTCCTGTTCTTAAGTTAAATGTTGTCAAATGTCCAATTGTTTGTTTAAAAAAAAAATCTACTATGTTCCCTTATTAAATCTAGAGATTTAAAAAGCCTTGTTAAGTATTTTTACTGTCGTTTGTAGACTGACAGATTGTATAGACTACATAATCTTGTATGGGTGGCATCCGTTTATGAGGTCCACATATTGAATTTAACATTGAACTGCTTAAAGTTTAAAATGAATATAAATCTCTGTATTTATAACTGCTGGTGTCATCTATAGCATAAAAGGCCTCTGGTTGAGATTAATCTCCACAATGTTACACATTGCCATCACCTAAAATGACATCCCACTACAGTCTACCATCCTTCTCAAAATTACGGTTTAAAAATATTTTCAGATCTTGTCAACAGAGTACCCCTATATTGATACATGGAAATTTACAAAAAAAATTTATTTGACCAACATGAAATAACTGCAAACATTCAGTTTCTAATGTTGGTAAGTTATTGCCAAAGTGTCTTATCTCAGATGCACACAAGTCCAGTACTCCCCATTGGCCCTTTGAAATCAAGTGTTTTTTGGTTGGTAATGGGGAACATCATTAAAATAAATCATACAATTATACTCAAGTTTAACATATTTATTTTTCTCACTATTCTCTGAACTCTACTTATTTGTATGCCTGAAAATAACAGCATAAACTAGTATATTCTAATATCACTTAAAAAGTTATAATCTCAACATGCCAGATGTCTTAGATGCTGGCTAAAATTTGATACACTGTTTGTGGAAAAGAACCCCCCCCCCCCCCCCAAAAAAAAAATTGCTAAAGATTGTGCATTGGAGCTATGTAATGACACTCAACTCATGTTGAAAACAAAGTGAGGAACAAACAAATCTGCTTGGACATGTTTATTTTAATGGCCTGCATGGTAAAAAGTGAGTGATTTCCAGGTGAATACTTTTTATAAAACCAGTTCTTGCATTATCCTTGGTTATGTTATTAAACAATATTTGCCAGGTATAAATACATTTTTCATATTTATAAAAACCAATTTGGGTAGCATTTTGGGGGATGGAACGGATTAATGGCATCTCGATTAAATAATTGAAAACTGCTCTGAGAAACAAAAAATATGTACGAGCAATTTGACAGAATAAATTAAACTCATCATTTTATGTACGAGCAATTTGACAGAATGAATTAAACTCGTCATTTTATGTACGAGCAATTTGACCGAATGAATTAAACTCATTTTATGTACGAGCAATTTGACAGAATGAATTAAACTCGTCATTTTATGTACGAGCAATTTGACAGAATGAATTAAACTTGTCATTTTATGTACGAGCAATTTGACAGAATGAATTAAACTCGTCATTTTATGTACGAGCAATTTGACAGAATGAATTAAACTCGTCATTTTATGTACGAGCAATTTGACAGAATGAATTAAACTCATCATTTTATGTACGAGCAATTTGACAGAATGAATTAAACTCATTTGATGTACGAGCAATTTGACAGAATGAATTAAACTCATTTGATGTACGAGCAATTTGACAGAATGAATTAAACTCATTTGATGTACGAGCAATTTGACAGAATGAATTAAACTCATTTGATGTACGAGCAATTTGACAGAATGAATTAAACTCATTTGATGTACGAGCAATTTGACAGAATGAATTAAACTCATTTGATGTACGAGCAATTTGACAGAATGAATTAAACTCATTTGATGTACGAGCAATTTGACAGAATGAATTAAACTCATTTGATGTACGAGCAATTTGACAGAATGAATTAAACTCATTTGATGTACGAGCAATTTGACAGAATGAATTAAACTCATTTGATGTACGAGCAATTTGACAGAATGAATTAAACTCATTTGATGTACGAGCAATTTGACAGAATGAATTAAACTCATCATTTTATGTACGAGCAAATCTTTTTATGTACAAGCAATTTGACAGAATGAATTAAACTAATTTGATGTACGAGCAATTTGACAGAATGAATTAAACTCATCATTTTATGTACGAGCAATTTGACAGAATGAATTAAACTAATTTGATGTACAAGCGATTTGACAGAATGAATTAAACTCATTTGATGTACGAGCAATTTGACAGAATGAATTAAACTCATCATTTGATGTACGAGCAATTTGACAGAATGAATTAAACTAATTTGATGTACAAGCAATTTGACAGAATGAATTAAACTCATCATTTTATGTACGAGCAATTTGACAGAATGAATTAAACTAATTTGATGTACGAGCAATTTGACAGAATGAATTAAACTCATCATTTTATGTACGAGCAATTTGACAGAATGAATTAAACTAATTTTATGTACGAGCAATTTGACCGAATGAATTAAACTCATTTTATGTACGAGCAATTTGACAGAATGAATTAAACTCGTCATTTTATGTACGAGCAATTTGACAGAATGAATTAAACTTGTCATTTTATGTACGAGCAATTTGACAGAATGAATTAAACTCGTCATTTTATGTACGAGCAATTTGACAGAATGAATTAAACTCGTCATTTTATGTACGAGCAATTTGACAGAATGAATTAAACTCATCATTTTATGTACGAGCAATTTGACAGAATGAATTAAACTCATTTGATGTACGAGCAATTTGACAGAATGAATTAAACTCATTTGATGTACGAGCAATTTGACAGAATGAATTAAACTCATTTGATGTACGAGCAATTTGACAGAATGAATTAAACTCATTTGATGTACGAGCAATTTGACAGAATGAATTAAACTCATTTGATGTACGAGCAATTTGACAGAATGAATTAAACTCATTTGATGTACGAGCAATTTGACAGAATGAATTAAACTCATTTGATGTACGAGCAATTTGACAGAATGAATTAAACTCATTTGATGTACGAGCAATTTGACAGAATGAATTAAACTCATTTGATGTACGAGCAATTTGACAGAATGAATTAAACTCATTTGATGTACGAGCAATTTGACAGAATGAATTAAACTCATTTGATGTACGAGCAATTTGACAGAATGAATTAAACTCATCATTTTATGTACGAGCAATTTGACAGAATGAATTAAACTCATTTGATGTACGAGCAATTTGACAGAATGAATTAAACTCATCACTTGATGTACGAGCAATTTGACAGAATGAATTAAACTCATCACTTGATGTACGAGCAATTTGACAGAATGAATTAAACTCATCATTTGATGTACGAGCAATTTGACAGAATGAATTAAACTCATCATTTGATGTACAAGCAATTTGACAGAATGAATTAAACTCATCATTTGATGTACAAGCAATTTGACAGAATGAATTAAACTAATTTGATGTACGAGCAATTTGACAGAATGAATTAAACTCATCATTTGATGTACGAGCAATTTGACAGAATGAATTAAACTCATCATTTGATGTACGAGCAATTTGACAGAATGAATTAAACTCATCATTTTATGTACGAGCAATTTGACAGAATGAATTAAACTAATTTGATGTACGAGCTATTTGACAGAATGAATTAAACTCATCATTTGATGTACGAGCAATTTGACAGAATGAATTAAACTCATCATTTGATGTACGAGCAATTTGACAGAATGAATTAAACTCATCATTTGATGTACAAGCAATTTGACAGAATGAATTAAACTCATCATTTTATGTACGAGCAATTTGACAGAATGAATTAAACTCATTTGATGTACGAGCAATTTGACAGAATGAATTAAACTCATTTGATGTACGAGCAATTTGACAGAATGAATTAAACTCATCACTTGATGTACGAGCAATTTGACAGAATGAATTAAACTCATCATTTGATGTACAAGCAATTTGACAGAATGAATTAAACTCATCACTTGATGTACGAGCAATTTGACAGAATGAATTAAACTCATCATTTGATGTACGAGCAATTTGACAGAATGAATTAAACTCATCATTTGATGTACGAGCAATTTGACAGAATGAATTAAACTCATCATTTGATGTACAAGCAATTTGACAGAATGAATTAAACTAATTTGATGTACAAGCAATTTGACAGAATGAATTAAACTAATTTGATGTACGAGCAATTTGACAGAATGAATTGAACTCATCATTTGATGTACAAGCAATTTGACAGAATGAATTAAACTCATCATTTTGTGTACAAGCAATTTGACAGAATGAATTAAACTAATTTGATGTACGAGCAATTTGACAGAATGAATTAAACTCATCTTTTTATGTACAAGCAATTTGACAGAATGAATTAAACTAATTTGATGTACGAGCAATTTGACAGAATGAATTAAACTCATCATTTTATGTACGAGCAATTTGACAGAATGAATTAAACTAATTTGATGTACAAGCAATTTGACAGAATGAATTAAACTCATTTGATGTACGAGCAATTTGACAGAATGAATTAAACTCATCATTTGATGTACGAGCAATTTGACAGAATGAATTAAACTAATTTGATGTACAAGCAATTTGACAGAATGAATTAAACTCATCATTTTATGTACGAGCAATTTGACAGAATGAATTAAACTAATTTGATGTACGAGCAATTTGACAGAATGAATTAAACTCATCATTTTATGTACGAGCAATTTGACAGAATGAATTAAACTAATTTGATGTACGAGCTATTTGACAGAATGAATTAAACTCATCATTTTATGTACGAGCAATTTGACAGAATGAATTAAACTCAACATTTTATGTACGAGCAATTTGACAGAATGAATTAAACTCATTTTATGTACGAGCAATTTGACAGAATGAATTAAACTCATCATTTTATGTACGAGCAATTTGACAGAATGAATTAAACTCGTCATTTTATGTACGAGCAATTTGACAGAATGAATTAAACTCATCATTTTATGTACGAGCAATTTGACAGAATGAATTAAACTCAACATTTTATGTACGAGCAATTTGACAGAATGAATTAAACTCATTTTATGTACGAGCAATTTGACAGAATGAATTAAACTCATCATTTTATGTACGAGCAATTTGACAGAATGAATTAAACTCAACATTTTATGTACGAGCAATTTGACAGAATGAATTAAACTCATTTTATGTACGAGCAATTTGACAGAATGAATTAAACTCATCATTTTATGTACGAGCAATTTGACAGAATGAATTAAACTCATCATTTTATGTACGAGCAATTTGACAGAATGAATTAAACTCAACATTTGATGTACGAGCAATTTGACAGAATGAATTAAACTCATCTCCAGCAACTGCTGCTGTAAACAAGGTTTTGGAGGGGGGGGGGGGGGGGGGGCTGTAATAAATTTTTTTGGAGGTCATAACTAGATGACCCCTGTCATAACTAGATGACCCCTGTCATAACTAGATGACCCCTTTCCAATATTGAGGAAACAGATCCCACAATATTTTGTCACTGAGGCGACATAACAAAAATCTGAGGAAAGTAGGTAGGGCTATACCAGCCACTTACACAAAACTGAGGAAAAGATTAAAATTTTACAGAAACAATTTCTTTATTAAATGAATAGAATAAGCAAGACAATTGAATGTCAAAATTAACATGTAGATGGAAGAATTGAGTGCACATAACGTAGATGGAAGAATTGAGTGCACATAACGTAGATGGAAGAATTGAGTGCACATAACGTAGATGGAAGAATTGAGTGCACATAACGTAGATGGAAGAATTGAGTGCACATAACGTAGATGGAAGAATTGAGTGCACATAACGTAGATGGAAGAATTGAGTGCACATAACGTAGATGGAAGAATTGAGTGCACATAACGTAGATGGAAGAATTGAGTGCACATAACGTAGATGGAAGAATTGAGTGCACATAACGTAGATGGAAGAATTGAGTGCACATAACGTAGATGGAAGAATTGAGTGCACATAACGTAGATGGAAGAATTGAGTGCACATAACGTAGATGGAAGAATTGAGTGCACACTTGTCCAGTCCTACAACAGCACTAGTGGCATTCAATCTTACAAGATGACAGACAAGAACTGGCCATGTCAAACTGTCATGTAATCTGTCCAGTAGAGGAAGGTACAGTTGGTTACTGAATGACATGTTACTGAATGACATCTTGTACCGGTGGTCTTTCATCTTCTAGTCCGTCCTGCCATTAGACTAGTCCGTCCTGCCATTAGACTAGTCCGTCCTGCCATTAGACTAGTCCGTCCTGCCATTAGACTAGTCCGTCCTGCCATTAGACTAGTCCGTCCTGCCATTAGACTAGTCCGTCCTGCCATTAGACTAGTCCGTCCTGCCATTAGACTAGTCCGTCCTGCCATTAGACTAGTCTGTCCTGCCATTAGACATACAGACTTGCCATGATAGATGGAGCAGGTTGTCGAGAGAAACCCTCACATCTTCAGCACTGGGCCTAGTACTGGGCTCAGCATCCCAGCATGCAGTGTAAAGGTCACAGTACTTGAGTTCATTCGAGTCACTTCCTGTGTCATGGTAGTCTGGCCTCTTGTTGACTTTAGTCACTTGGTAAATCAGCCAGTGGGGGTTGGCCCCTATATGGGGGGTCTCTCTTGTTGCCTGCAAACAACAGTATCATTCTTGATTCAAGCATTCACAATTTATAACCTGATCAGATAGGCATAGGTCTAGTGATTGTAGGAAAAAAAGTCACAGGAAAAAAAACACAGGAAAAAAAAGTCACAGGAAAAAAAGTCACAGGAAAAAAAGTCACAGGAAAAAAAGTCACAAATATATATTTGCATGATATTTGTTAATACTTGTATGTATTAAATATTTAGAGAGTGCAAATTAACTTAGGATTAATTAAATGTAATGTAATGTGTTTAGGTTGTATACGCATAGGAATTTTTATAATTCATCTAAAAATATTTATTATGAAGTATGTAGATTGTAATTATTTTAAACTTAAGATTAGTAGCATTTAATAGAATGCTCCGAAGTCCACGTTTTTCATCGTGTTTGTTTTTTAAATACCAATATTAAATTACAGTGAAATGGTAAGTTCATCTGACTTGCTGCCCTCAACTCATGGCAACAATAGTTATGTTTAGTTCAACCACCTTTACTGCCCACATTTATCACGCTCATTACATAACAAAACTTAGGATCAAAACAGAAAGCCGACAAGGTTCAAAGGCTGTCATTGACGCATAACGTCAACAACACAAAATATGTTCGGACAATGCCTACTAAGGAGAGGCCGACCAGAGAATAGCCTACGGCAAGATGTGCCTAAATTTCTTTTATAATTAACTTTTCTACCGCGTATTTAACTAAATACGCAACAAAAGTTGAGATTGTTGTGTTAATTATATTAAGTATTTTTACTTACAATTGTTATAAATCATAATGCTTTTAACGTCTATAAATAATTTATGCTATCAAAAAATACAACCCACAACAATAAACATACAAAATTTTACAATTCTTAACAAATTAATAAAAATATTTCTAAAAATAGTGTGGGCCGCATATGTGGCCATCAGGTAATACCCTGCGGTAAACAGGTAAAGCAGAGAGGTAAACAGGTTAAGCAGGGAGGTAAACAGGTTAAGCAGGGAGGTAAACAGGTTAAGCAGGGAGGTTAACAGGTTAAGCAGGGAGGTAAACAGGTAAAGCAGAGAGGTAAACAGGTTAAGCAGGGAGGTAAACAGGTTAAGCAGGGAGGTAAACAGGTTAAGCAGGGAGGTAAACAGGTTAAGCAGGGAGGTAAACAGGTTAAGCAGAGAGGTAAAGCAGGAACTAACCAGCTGCCAGAGACTGATGCCCAGGGAATAGATGTCCGCCTTGTTGGATGGGAAAAATCCTTTCATGAGTTCAGGAGCTCTGTAGGGCAGGGTGCCTAGGTGGGTCAAGGGAGGTATCAAATCATGGGACAGCTAATGCTCAACTGTACAATCAATGTTGTTAACTTATTTTAACAACATGTGTAACTAGAACATTTTTTTAAAGTAACATTGTTAGCACCACAAAATGAATTAATGATATAAGAAAAGTTGGAAGTGAAATACTTGACTAAGTGTTCTTGACTAAACGCTGTTGGTAGCCGCCCTACGTACCTAGCTGCTGCTAGTCGCCCTACGTACCTAGCTGCTGCTAGTCGCCCTACGTACCTAGCTGCTGCTAGTCGCCCTACGTACCTAGCTGCTGCTAGTCGCCCTACGTACCTAGCTGCTGCTAGTCGCCCTACGTACCTAGCTGCTGCTAGTCGCCCTACGTACCTAGCTGCTGCTAGTCGCCCTACGTACCTAGCTGCTGCAGTCGCCCTACGTACCTAGCTGCTGCTAGTCGCCCTACGTACCTAGCTGCTGCTAGTCGCCCTACGTACCTAGCTTTAGTCGCCCTACGTACCTAGCTTTAGTCGCCCTACGTACCTAGCTGCTGCTAGTCGCCCTACGTACCTAGCTGTAGTCGCCCTACGTACCTAGCTGCTGCTAGTCGCCCTACGTACCTAGCTGCTGCTAGTCGCCCTACGTACCTAGCTGCTGCTAGTCGCCCTACGTACCTAGCTTTAGTCGCCCTACGTACCTAGCTGTAGTCGCCCTACGTACCTAGCTGTAGTCGCCCTACGTACCTAGCTGCTGCTAGTCGCCCTACGTACCTAGCTGCTGCTAGTCGCCCTACTTACTTAGCTGCTGCTAGTCGCCCTACGTACCTAGCTGCTGCTAGTCGCCCTACGTACCTAGCTGCTGCTAGTCGCCCTACGTACCTAGCTGCTGCTAGTCGCCCTACGTACCTAGCTGCTGCTAGTCGCCCTACGTACCTAGCTGTAGTCGCCCTACGTACCTAGCTGCTGCTAGTCGCCCTACGTACCTAGCTGCTGCTAGTCGCCCTACGTACCTAGCAATTGAGTGAACTCCGTTTCTTCCATGGGTGCACTAACAGAGGTCAAGGTCAAGCTGCCAAAGTCTGCCAGCTTGCACTTCTCGTCTGACGTCATCAAAACATTCCTTGGTTTCACGTCCAGGTGTACAAGGTCAAGGTCATGTAGATAAACTAAAGCTGAGGTCATCTATGAAGGAATCATGACTTGTATTAAATTATACCCATATTGAAACAATATTGACATTCATATCTACCCCAAGATGATGTATTGTATTTAACTAATTGATTTCGATGTTTTATAAACTCACCTCAGTGGCAAACCGGAGTCTTTCTGGAAATGATATGGTGCGAGTAGGGTCATCAAGTACAGACTGAAGCGTCCTGGGGCTGACCAGTTCCATGACAATCAGAGCATCCCCCCTCAGCCCTTCACACATGTTTACAGCCACGATCTCTGGCATTAAGAGTTGGACAATTTATTGTCAAAGTTTATTCTGGTCCAAGTTTTTTCTCGCTCTACCTAATTTATTTTGATCCAATTTTTAAATGTAATCTAACGAAAAATTTGACAGACCAATGTGTTTAAACAACTGGACACTGACCAAAGTGTTTAAATAACTGGACACTGACCAATGTGTTTACACAACTGGACACTGACCAATGTGTTTACACAACTGGACACTGACCAATGTGTTTACACAACTGGACACTGACCAATGTGTTTACACAACTGGACACTGACCAATGTGTTTAAACAACTGGACACTGACCAATGTGTTTAAACAACCGGACACTGACCAATGAGGTGCGGGTGCTGGAGATTCAAGGAAAATGCCAGACGCTCTGCCTGCAGGATCTCCCGGTGTATGCCTGACCCACGTCTCTTCTGGACGACCTTTATAGCCACTGGTCGGCCGTGCATCAAACCTGAAACTCATTTAACACAAGTGACAGCTGACCAGCACAGTTATGACAGATGACAGACAGAACCAAAAATAAATAACTGAAATATCCCAAGGACAAAAAAAACTACTTTTATTTTTACTTAAAGCCTAAAACTAAAGCCTGCATTACATTTCCCTAAAACTAAAGCCTTCATTACACTTCCCTAAAACTAAAGCCTGCATTACACGTCCCCTAAAACTAAAGCCTGCATTACACGTCCCCTAAAACTAAAGCCTTCATTACACTTCCCTAAAACTAAAGCCTGCATTACACGTCCCCTAAACCTAAAGCCTTCATTAAATTTCCCTAAAACTGCTGTAGCCACGGTAAACGGAAAAAAAGTCACAGGAAAAAAAAACACAGAAAAAAAGTCACAGTTTTTGCTAGGAAAAAAAGTCACAGAAAAAAAGTCACAAAAATCTTTTCTGAAATATTTTGATTTATTTGTTGAAAATAATAACATTTTGTTTGTTTATTGTTGTGGGTTGTATTTTTATATAGCATATATTATTTATAGATGTTAAAAGCATTATATGGTTTATAACATTTGTAAGTAAAAATACTCTAAGATAATCTCAAATTGTTACGTGCCTAGTTAAATACGCGGTAGAAAATTAAGTATAAAAGAAATTTAGGCACAGCATTGTGTTTTGCTTATGTTTTGTAGTAGGCTATTCTCTGGTCAGCCTCTCCTCAGTCGGCCTTGTCCGAACATATTGTGTGATGTTGACGTTGTGTGTCAATGACAGCCATTGAACCTTGTCGGCTTGCTGTTTTGATCCCGTGCTTTGTTATGTAATGAGCGTGATAAATGTGGGCAGTAAAGGTGATTGAACTAATCATAACTATTGTTGCGATGAGTTGAGGGCAGCAAGTCAGATGAATTTACCTTTTCACGGTAATTTAATGTTAGTATTTTAAAAGAACACGATGAAAACCGAGGACGTTGGAACATTCTACTAAATGCTATTAATATTATGTTTAGCATAATTACAATCTACAAACTTCATACTTAATATTTTAGGATGAATTATAAAAATTACCATGCGTATACAACCTATACACATTACATTACATTAATTAATCCTTAGTTAATTTGCACTCTCTGAATATATAATATATAATTCATAAAAGTATTAACAAATTGCATGCAAATATATATTTGTGACTTTTTTTCCTGTGACTTTTTTTCCTGTGACTTTTTTTCCTGTGACTTTTTTTCCTACAATCGTAGCCACACACCAAAATGTGAATTTCAATTTGAAATGTATTCGATACCTGCATGAACTTTGCCGAAAGCACCTTTGCCAATGACTCGGCCAAAAATGACGTCACACCGTCGAAGGTTGGAAGTTTGAGCGGGGCCAGTACTTCCGCTGGACCTGCGTGACGTCAGACGGGTGACGTCAGCAGACAGCATTGGCATGGACGGACGGTGTGACGTCATCTTACCGGTTAAGGGTGAAAGGGAGGAACTGGCGCGACGATGTGGCAGGAAGTTGGGCGTGTCGCTGCCGTCTGACGAGCTCCGGTAGTGCCAGTTGTCCGGGGTGGGAGGGGAAATGTTGATGTGACAGCCCCACGGGGATAGTGGCAAGGTCAGGGGTGGGTGGGGCTTTTCATGATGGTGTCCTCGCATTTCATTCATGTTGTCATTGGATTGATGCAAGGAGTAATGGTGGATGGTATGGTTGTTAGGATGGATGTTGTCATGGTGGGCGTGGTTGTCATGGTGGGCGTGGTTGTCATGGGGGGCGTGCTTGTCATGGGGGGCGTGCTTGTCATGGGGGGCGTGCTTGTCATGGGGGGCGTGGTTGTCATGGTGGGCGTGGTTGTCATGGTGGGCGTGGTTGTCATGGTGGGCGTGGTTGTCATGGTGGGCGTGGTTGTCATGGTGGGCGTGGTTGTCATGGTGGGCGTGGTTGTCATGGTGGGCGTGGTTGTCATGGTTGTCATGGTGGCCGTGGTTGTCATTTGCCTGTGGTTGATCCTGCAGGTCTGAGACTAGCACTTTCCTAGTTAGAACATGACGCAACAGGTCTGGCTCGGGGCTGGAGAAGATGTTCATGTTCAGCAGGGAACATCTGGGGAACTTGAGGCCCTGGAACACAAGGAACTTTCAGATAGTTAAAACTTCTGGGATATTAGAGGCCCTGGAACACAAGCAGGGAACTTTCAGATAGTTAAAACATCTGGGATATTAGAAGCCCTGGAACACAAGCAGGGAACTTTCAGATAGTTAAAACATCTGGGATATTAGAGGCCCTGGAACACAAGCAGGGAACTTTCAGATAGTTAAAACATCTGGGATATTAGAGGCCCTGGAACACAAGCAGGGAACTTTCAGATAGTTAAAACATCTGGGATATTAGAGGCCCTGGAACACAAGCAGGGAACTTTCAGATAGTTAAAACATCTGGGATATTAGAGGCCCTGGAACACAAGCAGGGAACTTTCAGATAGTTAAAACATCTGGGATATTAGAGGCCCTGGAACACAAGCAGGGAACTTTCAGATAGTTAAAACATCTGGGATATTAGATGCCCTGGAACACAAGCAGGGAACTTTCAGATAGTTAAAACATCTGGGATATTAGAGGCCCTGGAACACAAGCAGGGAACTTTCAGATAGTTAAAACATCTGGGATATTAGAGGCCCTGGAACACAAGCAGGGAACTTTCAGATAGTTAAAACATCTGGGATATTAGAGGCCCTGGAACACAAGCAGGGAACTTCTGGGATATTAGATGCCCTGGAACACAAGCAGGGAACTTTCAGATAGTTAAAACGTCTGGGATATTAGAGGCCCTGGAACACAAGCAGGGAACTTTCAGATAGTTAAAACATCTGGGATATTAGAGGCCCTGGAACACAAGCAGGGAACTTTCAGATAGTTAAAACATCTGGGATATTAGATGCCCTGGAACACAAGCAGGGAACTTCTGGGATAATAGAGGCCCTGGAACACAAGCAGGGAACTTCTGGGATATTAGAGGCCCTGGAACACAAGCAGGGAACTTTCAGATAGTTAAAACGTCTGGGATATTAGAGGCCCTGGAACACAAGCAGGGAACTTTCAGATAGTTAAAACATCTGGGATATTAGAGGCCCTGGAACACAAGCAGGGAACTTTCAGATAGTTAAAACATCTGGGATATTAGATGCCCTGGAACACAAGCAGGGAACTTCTGGGATAATAGAGGCCCTGGAACACAAGCAGGGAACTTCTGGGATATTAGAGGCCCTGGAACACAAGCAGGGAACTTTCAGATAGTTAAAACGTCTGGGATATTAGAGGCCCTGGAACACAAGCAGGGAACTTTCAGATAGTTAAAACATCTGGGATATTAGAGGCCCTGGAACACAAGCAGGGAACTTTCAGATAGTTAAAACATCTGGGATATTAGATGCCCTGGAACACAAGCAGGGAACTTCTGGGATAATAGAGGCCCTGGAACACAAGCAGGGAACTTCTGGGATATTAGAGGCCCTGGAACACAAGCAGGGAACTTTCAGATAGTTAAAACGTCTGGGATATTAGAGGCCCTGGAACACAAGCAGGGAACTTTCAGATAGTTAAAACATCTGGGATATTAGAGGCCCTGGAACACAAGCAGGGAACTTTCAGATAGTTAAAACATCTGGGATATTAGATGCCCTGGAACACAAGCAGGGAACTTCTGGGATAATAGAGGCCCTGGAACACAAGCAGGGAACTTCTGGGATATTAGAGGCCCTGGAACACAAGCAGGGAACTTTCAGATAGTTAAAACATCTGGGATATTAGAGGCCCTGGAACACAAGCAGGGAACTTTCAGATAGTTAAAACATCTGGGATATTAGAGGCCCTGGAACACAAGCAGGGAACTTTCAGATAGTTAAAACATCTGGGATATTAGAGGCCCTGGAACACAAGCAGGGAACTTTCAGATAGTTAAAACATCTGGGATATTAGAAGCCCTGGAACACAAGCAGGGAACTTTCAGATAGTTAAAACATCTGGGATATTAGAGGCCCTGGAACACAAGCAGGGAACTTTCAGATAGTTAAAACATCTGGGATATTAGAAGCCCTGGAACAAAAGCAGGGAACTTTCAGATAGTTAAAACATCTGGGATATTAGAGGCCCTGGAACACAAGCAGGGAACTTTCAGATAGTTAAAACATCTGGGATATTAGAGGCCCTGGAACACAAGCAGGGAACTTTCAGATAGTTAAAACATCTGGGATATTAGAGGCCCTGGAACACAAGCAGGGAACTTTCAGATAGTTAAAACATCTGGGATATTAGAGGCCCTGGAACACAAGCAGGGAACTTTCAGATAGTTAAAACATCTGGGATATTAGAGGCCCTGGAACACAAGCAGGGAACTTTCAGATAGTTAAAACATCTGGGATATTAGAGGCCCTGGAACACAAGCAGGGAACTTTCAGATAGTTAAAACATCTGGGATATTAGAGGCCCTGGAACACAAGCAGGGAACTTTCAGATAGTTAAAACATCTGGGATATTAGAGGCCCTGGAACACAAGCAGGGAACTTTCAGATAGTTAAAACATCTGGGATATTAGAGGCCCTGGAACACAAGCAGGGAACTTTCAGATAGTTAAAACATCTGGGATATTAGAAGCCCTGGAACACAAGCAGGGAACTTTCAGATAGTTAAAACATCTGGGATATTAGAGGCCCTGGAACACAAGCAGGGAACTTTCAGATAGTTAAAACATCTGGGATATTAGAATCCCTGGAACACAAGCAGGGAACTTTCAGATAGTTAAAACATCTGGGATATTAGAGGCCCTGGAACACAAGAAGGGAACTTTCAGATAGTTAAAACATCTGGGATATTAGAGGCCCTGGAACACAAGCAGGGAACTTTCAGATAGTTAAAACATCTGGGATATTAGAAGCCCTGGAACACAAGCAGGGAACTTCTGGGATATTAGAGGCCCTGGAACACAAGCAGGGAACTTTCAGATAGTTAAAACATCTGGGATATTAGACGCCCTGGAACACAAGCGGGGAACTTTCAGATAGTTAAAACATCTGGGATATTAGAGGCCCTGGAACACAAGCAGGGAACTTTCAGATAGTTAAAACATCTGGGATATTAGAAGCCCTGGAACACAAGCAGGGAAATTCTGGGATATTAGAGGCCCTGGAACACAAGCAGGGAACTTCTGGGATATTAGAGGCCCTGGAACACAAGCAGGGAACTTTCAGATAGTTAAAACATCTGGGATATTAGAAGCCCTGGAACACAAGCAGGGAACTTTCAGATAGTTAAAACATCTGGGATATTAGAGGCCCTGGAACACAAGCAGGGAACTTTCAGATAGTTAAAACATCTGGGATATTAGAAGCCCTGGAACACAAGCAGGGAACTTTCAGATAGTGAAAACATCTGGGATATTAGAGGCCCTGGAACACAAGCAGGGAACTTTCAGATAGTTAAAACATCTGGGATATTAGAGGCCCTGGAACACAAGCAGGGAACTTTCAGATAGTTAAAACATCTGGGATATTAGAGGCCCTGGAACACAAGCAGGGAACTTTCAGATAGTTAAAACATCTGGGATATTAGAGGCCCTGGAACACAAGCAGGGAACTTTCAGATAGTTAAAACATCTGGGATATTAGATGCCCTGGAACACAAGCAGGGAACTTTCAGATAGTTAAAACATCTGGGATATTAGAGGCCCTGGAACACAAGCAGGGAACTTTCAGATAGTTAAAACATCTGGGATATTAGAAGCCCTGGAACACAAGCAGGGAACTTCTGGGATATTAGAGGCCCTGGAACACAAGCAGGGAACTTTCAGATAGTTAAAACATCTGGGATATTAGAGGCCCTGGAACACAAGCAGGGAACTTTCAGATAGTTAAAACATCTGGGATATTAGAGGCCCTGGAACACAAGCAGGGAACTTTCAGATAGTTAAAACATCTGGGATATTAGAAGCCCTGGAACACAAGCAGGGAACTTCTGGGATATTAGAGGCCCTGGAACACAAGCAGGGAACTTCTGGGATATTAGAGGCCCTGGAACACAAGCAGGGAACTTTCAGATAGTTAAAACATCTGGGATATTAGAGGCCCTGGAACACAAGCAGGGAACTTTCAGATAGTTAAAACATCTGGGATATTAGAGGCCCTGGAACACAAGCAGGGAACTTTTGGGATATTAGAGGCCCTGGAACACAAGCAGGGAACTTTTGGGATATTAGAGGCCCTGGAACACAAGCAGGGAACTTCTGGGATATTAGAGGCCCTGGAACACAAGCAGGGAACTTTCAGATAGTTAAAACATCTGGGATATTAGAAGCCCTGGAACACAAGCAGGGAACTTTCAGATAGTTAAAACATCTGGGATATTAGAGGCCCTGGAACACAAGCAGGGAACTTTCAGATAGTTAAAACATCTGGGATATTAGAAGCCCTGGAACACAAGCAGGGAACTTCTGGGATATTAGAGGCCCTGGAACACAAGCAGGGAACTTTCAGATAGTTAAAACATCTGGGATATTAGAGGCCCTGGAACACAAGCAGGGAACTTTCAGATAGTTAAAACATCTGGGATATTAGAAGCCCTGGAACACAAGCAGGGAACTTTCAGATAGTTAAAACATCTGGGATATTAGAAGCCCTGGAACACAAGCAGGGAACTTCTGGGATATTAGAGGCCCTGGAACACAAGCAGGGAACTTCTGGGATATTAGAGGCCCTGGAACACAAGCAGGGAACTTTCAGATAGTTAAAACATCTGGGATATTAGAGGCCCTGGAACACAAGCAGGGAACTTCTGGGATATTAGATGCCCTGGAACACAAGCAGGGAACTTTCAGATAGTTAAAACATCTGGGATATTAGAGGCCCTGGAACACAAGCAGGGAACTTTCAGATAGTTAAAACATCTGGGATATTAGAGGCCCTGGAACACAAGCAGGGAACTTTCAGATAGTTAAACATCTGGGATATTAGAGGCCCTGGAACACAAGCAGGGAACTTTCAGATAGTTAAAACATCTGGGATATTAGAGGCCCTGGAACACAAGCAGGGAACTTCTGGGATATTAGATGCCCTGGAACACAAGCAGGGAAC